GTGCCTAAACAGTTTTTGCTGATACTCACGTGCTTGTTAAGTTATAGGCATTAAAAATGTCATTAACACCTTTTTGCTACTCATTCTGGCTGCCCTCAAATTCTCCCAGTGTGACTTCCCTTGAGACATCCTAGTCTTCTAATGGCTTTGTCTTAACTTTTCACTCTTTTTAATTTTCACAAGGAACCTCTACAGAAACGACCCACCTTTTAGAGAGACCTTGGGAAGCAGGGCCTGGGCATCCAGGTTTAGGTACTGTATGAAATGTGTGCATCGTCAGGGCTCTGCCCAGTCAGACTCAATCCAGGATGTGAGTCTGGACCTTCCCCCAGGAAGCTGGGCAGCAAATGGGCTCTGTGTGGAGGGTCCTTTGGGGTTGCAAGCTGGAGATATGGTACAACCTTGTCTGGATGTAAGAAGAGCTACACCTAGTGGGAGAATTCCCAAGTCACAGCTACGCAGAAGAACTCTGGGAAGTTGATTGCCTGAATTAATAGCTCCCAGAAAGCCAAGGCCAACCTTTCAGTTCTTCAAGATCAAAACATTAAGGAGAGAGATAATATATTTGGTAGAATAATCTGTGTATAAACTCTCTTCGATAATATATTTGGTAAAATAATCTGTATATAAACTCTCTTCCTGTAAGAAAAATAACATGTAAATGTGACTCATGTCACTGAAAGGGAGAAAAGAAGGAGCTGGTCTGAAATTGGTTCACTACTAACAGTCCTAATGAAAAAATTTTATGTTAGCAGCATTCAGAGTTCAGCAGTGACTTCCTGCTAAGATGGCTATTTTACTCTTTCCCTGGGATGTCTGTGGTCTTGAGTCTCCCCTTTCAAGGGGACATGAACTGAAGGTAAGTCTACTCCTTTAATCATGAAGAAAGTGATGCTTTGAGAAAATTAATCTGCTGTTGATATCAGGGCCAGAAGAGGAAGGGAAAAGCCTGGAAGCTTGTAGACTAAGGAAACCCCTTCCACAGTAATTCTGGAGCAAGGTACTAAGCACCTACACTTTGACCTCGTTCCTCCAACCCAATCTTCCCTTGAATTTCTCAGATGACTAATTTACTTTGTAACCTTTTGAAATATACTTAAAAATTAATTATTAGGAAAAGATGCTGTGACAGGAAGCATCCTAATGATCTGACGGGGAAGTGGATGTGAGAGTACCTATAATATCCCTGATATTAAATGCAAGGGATGTGATACGGGAGCAGGTCCCAGAGCACATCACCAAAGTCGGAAAGCCCTCATAGGGAAGCCTACTTTCAGCATCAAAAACTCCAGTTCTGAAGCAATCCTTAGACTATTATGAATTTGAGAAAATGTCCCATACTAAGGTCTTCATTATACATAAGAGAACTCAGGTGTGGGATAGGCCACATGAAGGGAATGTAGAGAACCTCATTCAAAACTTAAAGCTTTAATGTACATCAGAACTAATATTAAAAGGAAGCTCCATGACTGCAAAAATGTGAGAACTGTTTCTGCAGGAAGTCCAAATCCAAGCATTAGAGAACTCAGGAAGGAGAGGAAAGGTTCATGAAATTTACAAAATATCTCCAGCCTCAAGTCAATCCTCTCTCAAACATCAGAAAAAAAGAAAAGGCAGGGGAGGAAACTAATAACCGCATACTTGGAAGATTCTTTTGCCACAGACCAGTCCTCATTTTATATCAGAGCACTCACACTCAAGAGAAACCTTTAGAATGTAACGAAGGTGGGAAAGAAAACCTTCTGCCAGAATTTACCCTTCAATGTACATCAAATTACCCACAGAGAAACCATATGAATGTAACACAAGCGTATAAGTCATATCTTACTAAATGTGAGCTAATACACATGGGGGGAAAACTCAGGATACTGAATGTGGAAGGTTTTTTCAGAAGTCAACCTTTATATCAGAGAACTCACTACACCTGTAAAGAACATGGGTAACCTTTCTTCCAGAATAACACCTGTCTGTACATCAAAGAACTGATTAAGGAAAGAAAACCTTCCCTGTGAAGTCAAATCCCTAATTCAGAACCAAAGAACACACATAAGGGAGAAAATCTCCGGGAATAATGAATGTGAGAGTGCTTTTGGCAAACTACATGTATTTATGTAGAAACACTACATAAGCAAGAGCAGCGTAAGACATGCATCCAGACAGAATCACTCACTGACTCTCAGGGGACTCCTAAAGGAGAGAAACCCTAACAATGCAAAAAATGCGGGAAATCCTTCTGCCAGAAGACAGAAATCTTTATAGACTGGAATATTCACATAGAAACCCAGAGAAAATATGTAAGGAAGGCTTCACCAAGAAGTTACAACCTAAACTGAACAGCAAAGAAACAACATTTGAATACTTTGAAAGCGTGAAAATTTTTAACATGAAATTTAAAGCCTGGGGAAATTCTATCAAGTTAGGGAGTATGTCAAAAACAACTTCTCCTAGCAATAATATTGTTCGAAAAGTCATGTTTAATATGTGATACCAAGCCTGTATCCAAAAAATAATCTAGTAAACTCTTTTGTAAATCCAAAATTTATAAATAAAAAGATTTTTAAAAAGAAAAAAGTCAAGCCAGTCTAAAGGACACAGGAGCCAGCTCAAGGAGGCACTCAATGGCCAAATCTGTGGTAAGTGGAGCACTAAAATAATTAAGTAAAGTAATGAATTATAAATCATTAAAAACATACAAATTTATGAGTCCATACTGATAAAAGAGAAATAGATTGATCAATCAAGAAGATGGGAAGTCTCCTGCTTATAGTAAAAATGCCAAGGGCTAACTGAAAGAAGCACTGGGATTATAAAATGATTACTTTGCAATCATATGGCAAAAACTGGATCAGACAAGAATCATAAATGGATACCAAATCCAGGCGGAAATTTTGATGAGAAGCAGAATATCTGCAACATCGAACGTGTCTCTCCACAGGCTGCTGATTAGTTGCAAGGGAAGAAAATATAAAGAGAAATAATACAATGGAGAAATCCGACAACGTCATGACCGGTGATAAAATTAGTATCTACAGGAGACAGACAGACATTGTGTGCCTCCAGATGTGGCGCCCTGAGAGGGACATATCACCCAAATAGGATTCTGGCTGAGGGTGCTTAACCTCAACCTACTTACAGAGAAACGTCATGCAAACACAAGATGAGAGCTGTTCCTAAAAAAAGGAAACCGTGAGGGGTGAGCTATTTCCTCAACAATATCAATGTTGTAAAAAGGCAAAAAAAAAAAAAGGGCTCCCCTGGTGGCGCGGTGGTTGAGAATCTGCCTCCTAATGCAGGGGACACGAGTTCGAGCCCTGGTCTGGGAGGATCCCACATGCCGCGGAGCAACTAGGCCCGTGAGCCACAACTACTGAGCCTGCGCATCTGGAGCCTGTGCTCCCCAACAAGAGAGGCCGCGATAGTGAGAGGCCCGCGCACCGTGATGAAGAATGGCCCCCACTTGCCACAACCAGAGAAAGCCCTCGCATAGAAATGAAGACCCAACACAGCAAAAATAAATAAATAAATAAATAAACTCCTACCCCCAACATCTTCTTTTAAAAAAAAAAAAAAGTCTCTAGAAATATCCCAGATTAAAGGAGCCTAAAGAGACATGATACCAAGGACTAATTCCTGTATTAAATGAGGAAAGATGCTAATAAGGACATAATTAGATCAAGTGACAACATTGCAATATAGACGGTAAAGCAGATAAAGACAAGTATCAATATAAACTTATGATGGGGGTGCTGTGGTTACGGACAGCTCAGCGAGAGGATGGAGAAGAGGCAGAAAGTGCAGAAGAGAAGGTAGATGGGGTAAAATATGAACAGTAAGTGAATCTGGCTAAAGGGTATACAGCTATTCTCTGTACTATTTTTATCTTGCAACTTTCCGTAAGCCTCAAATTACATTCCCCCAAAAGGGAATTTTTGAAAAGCCAATTCAGCATGCTCTGGATCCTATCTCCTCCAACAATAGGTAGTTATCTCTCTGTCTCATTTGCCTTTCCTCTCCTCACTAGATCATTCTGCTAAGCTTAGAAACATCTTCTTCATGTTCCAAAAAAAGGCAAACAAAAGCAAAGCAAACAGCTCTTGATCCACAGCTCCTGGAGCCACTGAAAGACTTATCTACTCACATTGTCACTTGGCCACTTTCCCTTTATCTTCAAACCACTGCAGCCTGGCCTCTGCCCCCATGACGTGGTGACACTGCTCTTCCTAAAATCACCCGACACCCCCAGGTTGCCAGCTCCACGGATCCTCTTCAGTTCTTTTGCTACTTAACCTTTCAACAGCATTGGACACTGTTGACCATACCTCTTCCCTGGAATAGTCACTCCTCTTGGCTTTTGATTAAATACTCTTGATTTTCCTCTGGCCCCTCTGCTCCTCCTAAGTCTCCTTTGCCATCTCTTCATCCCCTACCTGACTTTTAATGTTTATAGTTCCTACGGGTCTCAGTCTACACTCTCCCTCAAGGGGTCTCATCCACTCCCATGGCTTCAAAACCATCCAAACGCTGATGACTCTCAAACTTATTTCTGTGGCCCAGATCTTTCCTCTGAATTCCATACTCATACAGCTCAATTGCCTTGACATCATCGACCAAAACCTCTCAAACTCAACATATTCAAAACTGAACTCTTGCACTCCCCAAACCCTAAATCTTCTCCCCCAGTCTTCCCATTTCAGGAAGTGCCACTTCCACTCACTCAGCTGCTCAAGTCAGAAAACCTAGATCATCTGCGGGATGTTGAAATTATCAGCAACATTTTTTCTTTATGCTTTTCAGTGGTTTAAAATTTTCCTACAATAAACATACGCTTGTGAATACATTAATTAACTAAAATTAAAAGAACCAAGCCTCGTTCTTTTTGTGTAATCAGAAACAAAACAAAGATTTGCTTAAACATAATGCTTTATAGCCTCTATATTTGTTCTTAGTTGTAGTTTCATGAATGTCTAAATAAGAGTACTAACAATGAACTTTCACATTACCGGAAGTGTTTGGATCTACTGAGGACATCACAGAATCAGCTTCTATCTAGAAAAGAAAAAAGCATAGGATATACAATTTCATCAAATGTTTTCACAGTACAAGTTCTTAATTCCTGGGGTGCGGGGAAGGAATGTATTTTATGAGAAACCAACTTTGTTGAATCCAGCAGACAAGTAACATCACAGGACAGCTATAATAGTCATTTTTCTCTTCTATTAATAAGATACCAGATGCTGATCTACTACAGACTCTGATGGCCCCCAAAACTTTACTGCATTGACCAAAACAGTTTATCATATAAAATCAACTTGACTGTCACATATACAGAATAACCTAAAAGGTAACATTTCTGTTTTAGACAAATACAAGCAATTGTTACAATGGGCTCTATGGGTTTAAAATTTTTTTCCTGACTGTAATAGTAACATGATGTAGAAAACATGAAAAATATTTTTTAATTATGAAGAAAAACATCTAAAAAACCAGCCATCCAGTGAAAACCATTGTTAACATTTAGGCCTAGTACAGCTTTTTTTTTCCCCCTCCATGCATTTTTAAACATATTTGAGAATACACTATATATTAAGTTCGGGGACCTGCCTTCACTGAATATTAAAACATAAGTGTTTTCCCACATTGTTAAGAGAGCTTTATAAACATCATGGAATTAGAACCTTGGCATCATCTGATGTAGCTTCTCCACCTTCGATTCCATGCCCTGCACTTCCCTGGTTCCTCCTGTCCCTCCCAGACAACCAGTTCCCAGTGCATCTTCTTCATGGAGTCCCCACTGACCCTTAAATGTGGGTACGCCCCCCCATGTTCTCCCCTCAGGACACTGCCCTTCACACTCCACATACTCCTTTTGGGCAATGCCACCTCAGTCTCATGTTTTGAGCTACCACCTGTGAGGAATCCCAAATCTATCTCCAGCCCTCACCTCTCCACCCAACTTCAGATTCCTACATCTAAGGGAGGTGGCACAATCTGAGAGCAGATCTTTACCACCATCACCTCAACACCCAGCACAGCACTTAAAAAAGGAATGCACTTGGGGTGCTTCTAGCCTCCTCGAACTTAACATGCCCCAATCCGAACTCACTGCCTTTCCCCCAAACCTACTCCTTCTGAATTTTCTTATTTTCTTATCCCTTTAGTCCTGCTGTCACATCACTCTGATACGGCCACCACATGCAACCATGAATCACCAAGGCATAACTTCTCCCACCACCACAAAGCACTCCCAGACACTTCATGTCAGAGTCTACCTCCGCTGCTCTAAATGATGCCCAGATTCCTATTAAAGTTACCACAGAATTAGACCCTTCTCCTTGCCCTCCTCCCTTTCTGTTCTTAATCTCTTCTCTATCTTAGTATTTATCAGAGTTTTATAAGTCTCTCTACACTAAACTGTGAACTATTTCAAAGTAGGGTCTATGTTTATTCACCTTTATATTTCTAGCAACTAGCAAGTGCTCCTTTTATTAAATGGGAACACAATAAATTTCATTCTGTAAACATTTTCATGAATGCAGAAGTGATTTATTATTTTAGTGCCTTACTGCTTCATGACCTGCATTCAGTAAATATTTCGTTTGCTGAAAAGCAATGTTTAAAAATAAAACCCCAAGTTGAATGAGGTAAAATGGCACTAGTGGGCTCTACGTTTTTTAAGGATATACAGTTGTTTCAATGTCACTTTTATACATACTTCTATGTATGTAAACATATCTTCACAGTTTACACTTTCATTTGTATCTGCTGGGCTGGATTAAGCTTTGTTGTGATTGTGACCAATATTCAGGCCACGTGAGCACATCTTATCACATCACCAATTCGTTGTAATAAATGTTCAATGTACACCAAAAAAAAACCACAAAAAAACCCCCCAAACCTCAACCTATTATAAGAGGAAAAATCTGTTAAATTTCACAGAGGGAATACATTAAGTGTCACTTAATAAAACTTCATGATTGTTACAAATGATCGTTAAGTGTATAGGTGATTTGCTATATCAGTATTTCACTGTTCAGCGATCTGCAGTAAACAAGCATTTCCTTTGATTAAAAAATAAAACCCAAAACCTCAACCAAAAGTAAAAATCTGTTAAATTTGATGGTGTGTATGTATGTATGTTACCATATCTCTGTACTTGTCATTAAATTCCTCACTTACATGTTCTAAAATTAAAATCAAGTAAGTAGATCCAAAGGTGATAAAGGTAGAATGAGACCAGATATCTTTCCAGCTGAACCTGGGTTAAATTCAATGCTTCAAAAGCTGAGTCCACTTAGCTGACCTGCTCTGGAATTCCAGCTGAAATGACTGCAGGTTAACAGGAGAGCTGCAATGTCTGGGAGCCAGCCCTGAAGCTCCATAATCAACATCTCAGTAACTAAGCAACCCCTAGCAGTTGAACCTACCTGGGTGGTTCATGGGACATATTTATATCAACAGAACATATTAACAGTGAAGTTGTAATACATTTAAGCATAATGAAGAACAGAGAAGTGGGACATCACGTGGTCCCTGGCTTTACAGGGCCCGCAATCTGACAGACAGGTAGAGCCCACTCATAGGGAACAATTGGGCCAAAGTAGTTGCCCAGCCACTTTGTCTAACAACAGCAGGAGGGATGACATTCCAGGCAGAGCCCTGAGTGCTCCCTCTGTTTGATGCCTGCAACTGAATTTCTTAAACCTGGCCAAGATCTTGCCCCTGATTAATTCCAGTTCAGCAGCTTAACAAGAGGGATCCATCACTAGAATGGATGTAACAGACAAGAGGAGCAGCACAAGGACAGGAGGCATAGGAAACCTGTCCTACTAAAATGGGAGATTCACTGAAGTTCAGCTCAACTCTCCTTAATTAGTGCAACCTTTCCTGGAGAGCAATGCCCAACAAAATTTCAAATGTACCTAGCACTTGTATCTCTAGGAATTTATTCCATAGAGATATATCCACAAGCAGAGATATAGTTATAAGAGAATGCTCACGGCAGCAATATTTGTAGGAATGAAAAATAATAGAAACAACTGAAATGACCAAAACAAGGAAACTAGCTAAAGAGAATACTAAGCAACTATTTTTTTAATGTGGTGTGTGTGCTTTTATGTTCTTCTATTGTGAAGTGAAAAAAGCAAGTTAAAATAAAATAGGCATACTATGCACCCACTTTTCAATACAATGCTAGGCGTGTTTGTCAATACATAGGAAATTTGGGGATGATACACAATAAACTGTTACTAATGGTAACTCCTGAGGAGTGGGACCCTTTGGTAGGGAGGGAGGGGATTTTACACCCAACTTTATACTTTTCTGGACCATTTTAATTATTTGACTATGTAAATGCATTATTTTCATAATTTAAATGGAGCAAATTTTTTTTTTAATTTGAGGAAAAAAAATCCTGCATGTCACTTCCTCTGTGAATTCCTTCTGTTACCAACATGCCACTCCCAGGCTTCCCTCTTGGAACCTCACTAGCATCTCATACTTAATATTATTAGCAGCCTGGTGACTCAGTCTTGATGGATTCTAATTCATTCCTGAGTTGGATTCTTAAGACAAAAGTAAAATTCAGCACTGGACACATCTCTGAAATTGCTCAAAAGGCAGCGGTTTGCTTCATAAACATCCTAAGCTAGCCCTCTGCACTTTATTTAGAATCCATCCACTATTGTATTGTCAGCCCAGTCCCCAAATACAAAAGAAAGTTCTACCTTGGAGGGCTTGTATCCAAACAGCATTACAACAGCAACTTTAAAGTCCTCTCTGCTTAGATAGCCTTTGTTTTCTTCATCGCATGCTTTAAATACCTAAAGAACAGCAAATATCTTTAGTTAATAAGACAGAAACCGTTTGTTCTATTATTACTAACTTATATTAAGTTTAGATCTCCCAAACCTAAAACTTGGCCAAGAGTAGGGCTGGGAAATGGAATTTCATTATCCTAATTTTAATCCTCAAGAAATCTTAATCTGCTGGGACTTCCCTGGAGAACCAGTGGTTAAGACTCCTAGCTTCCACTTCAGGGGGCACGAGTTCTACCCCTGGTCGGGGAACTAAGATCTCGAATGCTGCCCCCAGGGCCAAAAAGAAAAAGAAATCTTAATGTGGTAAAATTTACTCCCCCCCAAAAGTGCAAACGACTTAATCGCTGGGTTAATTCCTTTAAACCATTCGAATAAGTTCTACCGAAAATTCAATCCTAGAATTGGGAAGGTGAGGCAAAAGGCTGGCTTTGAAAGGCGGGAGGAGAAATGGAGATTACAGCTTGTTATACACAGACTATGTCGCGGAGAAAAGAAGGAGTTGGAAGTAGAACACTGGACAGGGATCCAGAAGCCTTGCAGCCCTAGCCTCGGTCATTAACCATGACACTTCGGAAGGACAGTCCAGCCCCTATCTGTGCAACAAAGCTGAGTGAGAGCCAGGCGGGGTGACGGAAGTGAAAGTCCCGGGTCAAGTTTAAGTCCGAGACAGCCCTCCGGGCACTTACTTCCACCCACTTCTTGTGTTCCGACTGGCTGGCTTCCCACGTCCGCGGCCGGGCCCCGGCCTGGGAGAAAAACATCGCGACAGCCACACGGCAGTCGGGACGCCTGAACTCGCGACTTCTGCGGCCTACTCCCGGGTTGCAGCGACAGCCCGCCAAGCTCCCCGCAGTTCGTGAAGCTGAACTTGGCCGGGTACCTCCAACGTCTTCTCCCATTGGACGGCCTGCGAGCCACTGGCGTTGACCCCGCAGCTCTATTGGCCAGAGACTTTGTTTAATAACGTTTCCTTGGAACAGCCTATGGCGGAGGGGCTTCCAGGCCCGCCCCCAGCCTTGGCTCCGCCCCTCTCGCCCCTTTAACTCCTGGCGCGCGGCTGTGGGTCCCGCACATCCAGGTGCTGTTTCAACGTGTCCTGCATGATTCTTCTCATTTTCTGCCCCCACACCTTGTAGTAAGTTACTTTTTATAATTTTGATCAATGGCACTATGCTAAACATTATAGGAGACACAAAAAGAGTGTGAACAAAGCATAAAAGGAACCAATCAAAACAAGACCGGGGCTCCCGTGCAGATCAGCAAGTCATTGGAATCGAGCCCTCCAGGGTGGCTACTGTGTCTGTTCCGTCCTCCCTATAAGCCTAGCACTGAGCACGGTACCTGGCACAAAACAGACTTTCAATAAATGAACCAAGTGAGCCCTTAGGACGTTTACCCCAAGTTATTTCATTCAGTCCTCTAGGAGAGGTGCCTGGTGTGAAGGAAACTCTGAGAATAATATCAACAGCACTGAACCCAAATTCCACAGCAAACATCCTTATTAAAGGCAAGGAATATGGCGAGGGTTCCGCTTTGCAAAGTAGTTTATCTCAGACCTCTCTCTTCTGACAAATCAGTAAGATTAAAAAGGCAGCACACACACACACACATACACACAGGCACACGCGCCTGTTTCAACGAAGAAACGGGCATTCGAGGTTGAGTCTAAGGGAGCTCGTTTAACCTTTTATTTTACAGCAGGTTTTACAGTCCGGTCCCCCAGGAGAACCCATTCCTCCTGGGACACCGGTCTCAGCCCTCAGCTTCCTCGAACCTCTCAGGTGATCCAGTCTCTGCCTTTAAAATACCCACCCCCGCCACACACACACCTCGAGCTCCGGGAGTCTGAAGCTATGAGAACCTCTGCAAAGCGGATGAGTTTTGCTAATTAACTACGGGAAAAGTGAGGGAAATTTCTTTTCCTCTCTCCCTCTTTTAGGAGACGCGCCCAGGAGGTGAGAGGGGAGCTGGAGGCGGCCAGGTCTTCCCTCCTTCCAGTCCTGCGGGAGCGCCCCCTCAGCCCCTCATGACCCGGAGGGCTTTAGGACCCAGCTGCGGGCGTCCCGGAAGGGGAAGGGGCAGGGTCACTCTGCGCGCGCTGCCGGCTGGAGGGTTTGAAGCGCGCGCAGGCGCGAGTGGCGGCGGAGCGGCGGGATCCTAGGTGGCTGCGCGTTCTGGGGGCTTCAGGTGAGTGGAGGCCGCGGGTTCCGGGGCCTCCGGTACGCGTTCGGCAGCTGCCCGCGCTTTTGCTCCTTCCGGCCTGGAGCGCGGGCAGCCGGCGTCCGGCGAATTCTTGAGTGTCCCGCGGGGCTGGAGGTGGATCCGGAGGGAAGCGGAGCATCTTGTAAAGACACTAGGTAGGGTCCCCTTCTGGGCCTCGGCTTCCTCCAGTAATAGTACCTCTTTGGCGCGAGCAGCTGCTGCTTGAGGAGACCAGAGTCCTGCTGGAGGGGTCCCCCTCCGCGGATTCTTATTCTGGCTCCTCCACGTAGTAGGCAGATGGTCTGGAGAGTTAGTGATAGCTAGCATGTTGGGCGCTTACTCTGTGCCAGGCACTTAACCTCTGTGTTTAGTCTCCCCATAAATGGAAACAGTTGTGAGCGTGAAATGAGTGTATGCCCAGTAAAGGTGAGCGCACAGAAAACAGTGTACCCCGGAATCAGCCCACTTCACTCCATCCCGACTGCCTTCATGAGCTACCAGAGTCCCTGCAGGAGCCGCCTCACTTCGACTTTTGTCTCCCTCCAAACCATTCTCCATACAGAGTTGCAGGGAACGTAATATTTTAAAAAAGTAGATCGGACCAAGGTACTCCCCTTCAGTGGGGCCTACTGTTCTTAGAATAAAATCCAAGATCTTTAACTTACTCCTGCCCACCCCCTTCATCCTGGACCACCTACCTGTCTTCCTTACCCAAGTCTTTCTGTGTGTTTTGGGAGTTACTACACCCTTGTTCTGGTCGTTGCAGGTTGGGTTCCCTCACTTGGAATACTCTTCTTTCCCTCCCACACTTTTATTTGGCTGATTCCTTTTCACCCTTCAGAGCTCACTTAGATGTTAAATTCAGGATAGTCGAAGGTAAGGGCATCCCTGTTACTCTCTCATACCTGTAAAATATAATGAATATCTGTAAAGATATCTTGGCTTTTTTGGTTATTTTTGTTTGTGTCAGTCTGTTCCTTTCTCCTTGAAATAGAAGCTTTTCTAGGACAAATTGTTTCTATGTTGTTAATTTCTTATTCCCAGGGCTTGGCACATAGTAGCTGCTCAATAAATATTTTTCGAATGAACATACTCTGGGAGGTAGGTATGACACCCATTTTACAGAGGAGGAAGTTGAGGCTCAGCAGTTAAGTAACTTGCCTAAGTGCACGTTTACCACCTAGTAATGACTGGATTTGAAATTGGAGTCATATTTGCCCACTACTGGCCACACCTGGCCTCAGTTGAGATTGACTCCCATGCCCTCCTGATGGTCTGCAAGCTCTATAAGAAGGGTCAGCTGGAAGTGTAAAAGAAATAGCCAAGCTGGGTCTGGGATGGTAGGGGGAGAGGAGGAGCCAGCAGCTTTAAGAGGAGTATCCATTTGCATCCACACATTTTTTTTTTAGTATCTAATAGACACTCTAATGTTATGAGTTGGCATCTGGTGGTAGAATTTCTTTAGATTTTTACCCTCCTTGGCATTGTAGCTTAACGCAGTGTTTGCCAAATTTCAGTAATGTGGTCGGTTGCTTCCTCCCCAGTTTTGTCTCACTCTCAACATCTGTACTACTATTTGTGTAATATTTTCATTTGAACCCACTTTTACATAAACACTATCTTTTAGAAGTAGACTTCAGTTATTGTAAATGTAATGGAGCCATAAGATACCTTCTGTTGATGTTAAACCAAAGTGTTACTGCCTGCAGAAGAGCCCAAAATCCGTTATTTGTTCAAAAGCAGGAATAGAGACATTTCTACAAACAGCTTTCTCCTTGATTAAACTGAGACATTGGATTGGGATGGGAAAGGGAGGTACTTTCATAACGTAATGTTAGTTAATGTCAGGTCCCAGTCACCTCTGCTTTGGGAAATACTGCACTTTGCTGACCCACTGAATGTCAGCTCTCAGAGTCAGCCCACCTGTGTTGTAATTCTGATCCTGGTGTCACCACTTACCCAGAGTGTGGTGTTAGACCTGTGCTGTGCGAGACACTGCCCAGGGAAGACAAACCGTGAACAAACAATTGAAGGAAAACACTTAGGTTCTATCCTTGTAAAGCTCTATGACTTCAGTATGAAAGCTGTCTGAGAATGCAGAGAATCTGGACCTGTGTGAGAGAGAAATGAAATTCTGATCCTGAGACCAGATCCAGTCCTCCAAAGTAGAATCAGTTGCTGGTTAATCTTGGTGTTTACCAACAGCTCCTCTTCAACAGGTTAAGTGCCTTGACTGCATAGAGAGGCTGGTAACCTGCTAGGCTTAATGATTTGTTACAGTTTTATTAGCATATTGCAAAGGTTTTTTTGCCTTTAATTGGTAAATAATCTCAGGCACATTTTGGATTGTGAGTAGATCCCAAATTTAAACGATGTATAGAGCAGACAAAAACCTTTTTTTTTTCTCTAGGAAATGTCTTTTTCAAAGCTTTATTTTTTACCCACTTGTCCTTTTTTGGAAGGAATTCGCTGTCCTCCCCCCCTCCCCCACCCCACATGTGGTTCTAGAAAGTGTAGATAATGATAAAACTGAAAAATTTAGAAATCTCCTAAATAGCTCACAGAGTCACTAAAGACCAATAAATATTTTCCTTTTAGAGTTCTCAGGATTTTTCAATTCCATTTTATTTATACGTAATTGATCTGGGAAGAGGGGTGGTGGTGATCTCTAAGGTCTGCATACAGCTCCTTTTCTCAGGCTGGGAGCTGAACCCTTTTTTCACCTAAAAACTCTGAGACCCTCTCTTTGCTTTAGGATGGGGCAGGAATCTAGGGAGAACAGGCTGAGGAATCTCAGTTGAAGATTCTATTACTCATTGCCTAGCTTTAGAGCTGGTTTAGAATTCAATGGAAGCTAGAGCTTACAGCACAGTAGTTTTTCCAGAGATGGTTCTTTTGTTCTTAAATCATTTTTCAATTACAAACTAACTGACAAAATGGCTCCTTCAAAGTGAATTGTGATAGCAGTCTCCAGAGTCTAGAACGCTAAGGGAACTTAAGTTTTAAAAAAACAGTCAAAACAAACAAAAAACTGAGCTGTTTAAGTAGGTGTTAAGTAGTAAGTCTGTCTTAACCCCTTTCATGGGAAAACCTGGTTCTCAGATCCTGTTAACTGTAACAATACAGTTCCAACAAGCTTGATTATCTGGTGTCTTAACCCTTATCAGATTAGAAACAATTTAGGGGGAAAACCTACTCAGAGTTCAAACAGCCCCTAGAAGTGGACTGAACACAGAGGGAAAGGACAGAGAACTTTTAGAAAAGAAGACCTAGACAGAGTCTAGGGCCCCTATTACAGGAGCAAGTGTCTGCATCCATCTGTGGTCCCTACAGTTGAGGCTGCAAAACACTGTCCATGCCAGCTGGGCTTAATAGTGACCCTGGGCCGTGAAGAACGAGTCAAATTATTGTCTAGATGCACTCTGCTTAAAAGCTCCTTGAAATGTGTAATTTACAGGAGAAACCTTATCTGACTTGGTCATAAATTGAAAAAGGTGAGAAGTTGTGCAAAGTGATAGATACCTTAAAAAATATATACTTTTTAGCTTGAAACATGAAAGTATATTCATTAGCAAGTCTTTCAGTGCAGAATTTAGCCTTTTTTAAGGAGTGGGGGTTATGCTGCAGTCTGTCCTATATCCGCACTCATAGCAGGTCCTGCTTACGCTGTAGAGCAAACATGTAGACACTCTGTCCACGATCTGAGCACAGACTCTTGAGTTGTGTAAGTTTCCTCTGGGTCTTGTACTAAAGTGTATTTTTTTTTTTTAAATCATACTAAGGAGCTCTTCTTTAGTTATTTGGGAAATCTACTTAGATAGCCCTTTACCCTTGAATTGATGACATTTTGTCGGTAAGAAAAGCAAAAGTTCCATGTGTTTTCCTCTTTTGAGAGCAAGAAAGTAGAAGTTAAACTGTGTAGTTTAGAAAACAAGTAACGTTTTGCTTTAGTACAAGTTCTTTCTCTGCAGGTTTTCATGGTTTGATTTAGGATTAGATAATCATTGAGTCAGTTGGGTCCTCATGGAAGCATCCCTAGATAATGTATATATAGAATTGATCATTTGATACTGTCTGGAGGATTTCGTTAAGCTCTATGGTAAGTAGCTTATCTTGGGGGAGTAAGAAGTAGTCCCTGAAGTCCTTTGGGCTCCCATACCTGGGTGAGGAATAGGTGATAAATTCCAATTTGACCTTAAAAATATGAGCATAGTCAGAATTACTCCTGAAATTCCTTAAACTGACCTTAACCCCAAACACCTGTTGGAAGCTTCTGGGCTAAGAGTGGACATTTTTGTTTTGGACTTTGGCTCAACTCCATTTCCTCAGGCATTTAAGAACAAGGTCTAGGTGGAAAGACAAAGGGAGAGAAGCAGAAGGTGAGCAGGATTTTCGCCATCACTTTATTTGCCAAGTTCTCACGGCAGATTGTGGTGATGTGCCGTGAACACCTACAGAGCCGCTGATGTTAGTGACACGTCTTGGCATCTGCTAAGTGTCAGGTGTGCTGTATGTGTCCTAGAAGCTCAGGACACAGAATTTGAGAGCAAGAGCATGAGTGTGCCGGTGGCCTGGTGGATGGGAAATAACGAAATTTCCACCTTTCATTTCCAGAGGAAGTGTAATGTCTCAGGAAGGCAATTATGGGAGGTGGACGATATCCAGTAGCGATGAAAGTGAGGAGGAAAAGCCAAGACCGGACGAGCCATCTACCTCTTTTCTCCCGCACGCTGAGCAGGGAGCAGCCAGTGAGCCAAAGTACACCTGTTCCGAGGCTCGGAAAGCTGCCCACAGGAGGAAGGTCGCACCCGTGAAGTTCAGCAGCACAGATTCCGTTTCAGAAGCTTCACCTCCCAAAAGGCAGAAGGGCGGTTCCCAGGAAGACCTGGGCTGGTGTCTCTCCAGCAGTGAGGATGAGCTGCCGCCAGAGACGCAGCAGAAGCAGGCTAAGGACACGGGGGTCAAAGAGGAGAAAGGCCTCCCTTCTCCCAGAGATGGTGCTGTCCCGGGAGCTGAGCATCACAGCCCCTCAGCCGGCCACGGGCTTGAAATGTCAGGGGAAGGCCAGGACATCTGGGACATGCTGGGTAAAGGGAACCCCTTCCAATTTTACCTCACTAGAGTCTCCGGAATTAAGCCAAAGTATAACTCGGGAGCCCTCCACATCAGGGGTGAGTGAAGCCGGGGGTCTGGGAGCTGCACGTGTGGGGCCTCCCCTCGAAAAACAGGAGGGAAGCCTAGAAGGGATCTCTTAAGAACCCTCTGAACTTCTCTCAGGGGGAAAAGAACCCATTTTGACAAGCAGATGCACTCGTCTGACAGCAAACTGCTTAGCTCGGGAAGCCAGCGGGTGTCTCCCAGAGCCCTGCAGGCCACCCTGCTGGCACCCCTTGCACAGTGCTTAGAATTACTTAACTTGTAATTTAAAGGTTAAACTCGGTCGCTGACACTTTATTAACCAAGTAGCCAGCCCTTGACAGCAATAGTTCTCTCTGGTCCCTGGACCAGCAGTGTCAGCACCACCCGGAGCTTGTTGAACATGCAAATTCTTGGCCTCCTCTTCAGATTCCCAGCACCAGACTCTGGGAGCCTGGCCCTGCAATCTCCTTTAACAAGCCCAATCGTTTGAGAACCGTTGCTTGAAAGCCTGGTTTTGGTTCCTGGCGTAGAAGCAAAACAAGAAGTGCCCTGATTTTTGGTTGCTGTGGTTAGTCCCCAGGGAGTATCTGTGTGATATTGTGATGTATACAGATATTTGGTCTTCACTCCGGTTATAGTTGGGGTTTGGTTTTGGTTTTTGTCCCAGGTTCCTGAAATAGCTCCAAGGTGATGAAGGGTGAAAGGAGCATCTTTTGTTATTCCTAACAAGCCCCTTTCAGCCACACCGGAGTGGAGTGTATGTTAATGCGATGACTTTCGGAAAGCCCCTAGGAAGGGGGGTGCTGGTTGCCTGGGGAACCAGCCTGGTGATTAAAGCTGGAACTTTCAGCCCTAACCTCCACCTCCGGGGAGGGCAGAGGGGCTGGAGATCGAGTTCACCGCTAAGGGCCACTGATTTAGTCAGTCTTGCCTGTGTAATGAAGCCTCTGTAAAAGACCCCTCACTGGAAGGGTTCACAGAGCCTCCAGGTTGGTGCCGACGAGGAGGTGCTGGGCCGTGGCGCACCTGCAGAGGGCATGGCCGCGCCCCGTCCCCCATACCTCGCCCTGTGCATCTCTTCATCTGGCTGTTCCTGAGTTGTGTCCTTTTATAATAAGCTGGTAATCTAGCAAGGAAAGTGCTTTTCTGAGTTCTGTGAGGCCTTGCAGCAAATTGTTGAGCCCGCGGGGGGGATGGTGGCAACCCCCAATTTATAGCCTGTCGGTCAGAAGCACAGGGGGTCCGGGCTTGTGACTGGCATCTGAGGTGGGGGCAGTCCTGTGGGGTCTGATGCCACCTCTGGGTGGATGGTGTCAGAATTGAATTCAGTTGTAGGACGCGCAGCTGGTGTCCGTGGAGGATTGGTCTGTGTGGGAAGCCCCCCTCCCTCCTGCTACACTTGGTGTCAAAAGCTTTGCGTGCAGAGAGGAAACAAGGGTTTCCTTTGAGAGAACGGCAGGGCCCCTAGAATCCCAGACACAGGGCCTCACCACCTGCTTGCTGTGTTGGTAATTAACAAAGGACCTAACATTCTTCACAATTTCAGTTCACTCACCTTTAAACTGGGGATTCAGAAAAAAGGGAGATAACACATGAAGTGCCCGGCACAGTATATTCACGTGGCAGATACACAAAATAAACGTTGTCACCCGTATTTCACATTACCTTTCTTGCCCACATTCAAGAATAGATTGTGTTCACTGTTAATACTGTTTTAATTATATACCCAATGTATAATTACATCTTATGTGATGTATAAATGTTGGTATATTTAATTCCATACTATAAAGAGTTTGGTTCTACAAGGTGTTTATTTTTCCTTTTTGCAAATGTCTAGGTGCTTTGCAGAAATATATAAGATAGATCTCAGTGTTTCATTTTATTTGAGAGAGATTGAAACAGGAAATAGAGAACTATGCAAGGTTTTGCTGTATATAATAAAGTGATAAAGACTGGCTATTAGCACCAACATACGGAAGAAGGAGAGGTAACATGATAGGAGCTTTTATATAGATTATCTCCTTTAATCCTCAAAACAGCCTTAAGAGTAGATGTTACAGTTGTCCTCCTCGGATAGGTGACCGATCTGCAGAGAAGTTAAATAACCTGCCCAAGGTCATAGAGCTGGCAGATGGCAGAACTGGGATTTGAATCCAGGCATTCCAGCATCACAGTGCGTGCTCTTAAGCGTTTGGTGTACCACTCCAGCAAAGGCCATAATTGTAGGTTGTTTAGAAGATCTCATGGAGGAAGAGGGACCTCAGATGGGCCTTGAAAAATGGGTAAAATTTAGAAAGGTAGAAAGAGGAGTGGCAGTGGGGGCAAAATGGGGCCCCCACGTTGCAGTTTCTCTCTTGATTGTGCAACTCTCCCTTTAAGGTAGGAGCTTCTTTAGAGGACTTTTTCGTTCTTTTAAAATCTTTGTACCCTGGCATTTATCTCCATGTCTGGAAGACAGGAGGCACTCAATAAATATGGGTCAAATAAGTGAACGAGCCCAGTCTGAACCCTCAGGGTTGGCTTGGTGGTTAGAGCGGAAGCGCTGGAGCCAGACTGTCTGTGTTCAAGTCCCGACCCTGCCTGACCCCAGCTGTGTGGCCACGGGCGGCCCCCTAAGGAGAGACTCTCTATCTACAACATGGGAACGACAGACCCCCGCGGACAGAAAATGGCTGCGAGGAGTGAGAGTTAACACGTGGAAAGTACCAGGAACAGGACCTGGCACCCGATGGGTCCTGTCCAAGTGAGGCTGTTATAATCGGTGGTGGTCATGAGGGTTGTGTGCTTCCTCTCAGGGTGTAGACATGGCTTTCTGTTTTCTCTGAAGTAAAGCCTGAGTGGGTGCAAGGTGGGCCCTCCTTAGAGATGACCTGGGTGCTAGAAATATGAGCTTGGAGCTGCGGGGGCCTCTGTCCTCCCTCCACAGGAAGCAAGAGCCCTCAGGCTCCAGAGAGCTGTCTTGCTAGTCCCAGACTGGGGAGGTTTCCTGGCGAGAGACTTCAGTGAGTACTTGAAGGAGGTAAAAAATTAAGAGATCTGGAAAGAGGAAGGACACTCATCGTTATCGTCCTTATTGGCAGTTTGTAAAATTGCCCAGTCATCCAGTACTAAAGTTGTAGATCTTGATTTTCCATTATGTGTGGTTAAATAATACTGATACATAATAAATATTATTAAATAGCCCAGGGAAATTTTCTCTTGAATTTTATGGAACATTAAAGTCTAGTCTTGTAGTACCTTTTCAGTGCATCATTTTCTAAGCCAAATTCTCGTCGGTGACTATTTAATAAGTCAGTTGTGATTATTATTACTAGGTAGTCTTTATCAAAAATATGAAATTAGATATAAATGTTTTGTCTCCCCAGATATTTTATCTCCTCTATTTGGGACACTTGTTTCTTCAGCTCAGGTGAGTTTACAGTTGTTTCTTTGTACGGAAGGGGCAGATAACTCTGTAAGAAAGTGAGCGGCGGGACCTGTGGGCCGGTCCTGTGCAGGGTCCCTGAGATGGCACATACCTGGAGGCTGGTGCCAGACGCCGCGGTTATGGGATCCATCAGCCTGGAACGTGGATGCACGATCACTGGGGCTTCTGACTCTCGATTGGGCCCTAAGGACTGGCCAGGAAGTCACTCTGGAAATTCCAACCTGAGGGACTTCTCTCTGGGACACTAATAATCTCACAGGACTCTGGTGCAACTCCCTGGGAGTGTGGGTAGAGAGGTGAAGGCCATGTCAAGTTTGATTTGATTTAGAGAAGTAAATGAGAAATTTCCTACACCCTCCAAAGAGAAGTGAGTAGAAGTTATGGATGTGGGTACATCTGCATGTTTGATTGACGTGTTTGATTGGCAGCTCTCCTGCCTGACAGAGCTGGTCCCTTTGTGTTGATAAATCACCTTCACGTGCCAGGCTCTCCAGCAAATAGAACAAGGTCTTGTGCCTAAAGAAGGCAAAGTTTTCTCTGTGCTCCATGTTCTGCTTGGCGATGGGAATCCTGGTCTCCAGATGGAACGTGGGGTGAATTTGTGTCTGTTCTCCTGGCTAGATTGAGTCAGTATGTCCAGGAGGAGGTCCAGGGATTACCCAGGCCTGGGGAGGACCCCCGTGGGTAAGTCTAGTCCAGAACCTGTAATCAAGATGTAATCGTCATAAGCCTAGTGAACGTCCAGTCGCAGATGCCTGTTTACAAAGCTAGCTCATAAGTTAGGCTGAAAGGAAATGTTCTTTTCCAAAAGTGCTTTTTATAGTCATCTAGGGGAAAAGGGATAAATTTATAAGCCCCATTAATCAGAGGACTCTTAGAAATATTGTAAAAAGACTCAGTTTACAAATACAAATGCTGCCAAAGCATGCAGAGGTAATTTTCTGTTTTCTCAGGCGCTCCCGCACTAATTCAGAACCTTTGAATGGTGTATTCCCTTCAAGATGTATTTTAGCTTTGTTTATGAGTATTGTAGCAAATTGCCCATGTTTATACATAATATATGTAGTTCATCATTAGAGTTTCTTTGAATTCAATAACCAAACACTTCTCCTAATAGACTGCTTTTCTGAATTGCCCGTGACTTCTTTTCTTCCCCCCATCCAGTTTAACTACTGCTTTGATGTGGACTGGCTCATAAAACAGTATCCACCAGAGTTCAGGTGAGTTCCACAGAGTGATGGATGACGTCATAACTGTAATGCAGCCTTAAAACACAAGATTTGTGTTTCTCAGGCAGCTGCCGTGCATCTTCTTTGAATATTTCTTTTGGAACTATCGAAATCATAAAAACGTTAATTATACTGGGAAAACAGCATTTTTTGATATATTCTAACTAATCACAAGCCTTCCTAATACAGATTTTAGTGTGTCCTTCTGTTCTGTCCAGAAGTAGATTAGGACAAATTTCAGCCCAAATAAAAGAATTTTAGGTCCAATGTTAATATGAAGGAAAAGGTCACTGCCACCTGGGTTCTCGACCTATAAGCATGCCATGCTTCACTGGGCACATCAGTGCTGTTCTTTTTTTGAGACGCTCTTGTTTCACAAGTGATTTTTCACATAGCTTAGGAGTTAATGCAGGGATCATAGGGCCTTCCCTTACCCAGATTATGGAAGTGATGGATTTTCAGTCTGTCTGCCTCATGTTAGGCAGTGCAAATCAAATAAATATGGCATCCCATGGTGATATGCCATCTGTCCCATGTCTAACACATGGGCGTGGCAGAATCCCATAACAGCAGGTAAGGTGGAGGAATACACATGCAGGAGAATGGTTGTCAGGGTCCTCAAAGTCCATGGTGCATTTAGCCCGTCAGATTGTGGGAAGCTTCATTATTAATAATAGATAAAATGCTGGGCGTTCCCTGGCAGTCCAGTGGTTAGTACTCGGTGCTTTCATTGCTGTGGCTCAGGTTCATTCCCTGGTTGGGGAACTAAGATCCTGCAAGCCACGAGGCACAGCCAAAAATAATACTAATAGATAAAATACTGTTGAAATTTCCCAAGCAGCTTTGGCACTCAAGGGCTCATATTTGATCTGTAAAACGTAAGATTAGTTTCAGCTGCATGTAACAGAAAAGTAGAAATAACAGTGGCTTAAACAGGAGAGAAAATAACTTCACCAACCTATTCAAAGTACTGGATGATGCCCACCCACATTAGGGAGGGCGATCTGCTTTGCTGAGCCACCGATTCAAATGGTCATCTCCTCCGCAAGCACCCTCACAGACACACCCAGAAATAATGTGTTTTGGTTTTCTTTGGGTTTTTTTTTTGCGGTACGCAGGCCTCTCACTGTTGTGGCCTCTCCTGTTGCAGAGCACAGGCTCTGGATGCGCAGGCTCAGCGGCCATGGCTCACGGGCCCAGCCGCTCCACGGCATGTGGGATCTTCCCGGACCGGGGCACGAACCCGTGTCCCCTGCATCGGCAGGTGGACTCCCAACCACTGTGCCACCAGGGAAGCCCCAGAAATAATGTTTTATCTGGACACCCTTGGCCCAATCAAGTTGACACATAAAATTACCCATCACACTGCCTTTTTGTGATAGTTTTTAGAACACCATTAAATCTGAAGTAATTAATGAGGACTTCAGCTTTTGTCAATAATGTTTAATCTTTTATTTTTTAAAAAGACCTGATAATCTGATAACAGGAATCGTTTCTAGGTAACACATGCATGATTATCTCTTACATTATTCTCTGTACTGTGTTTCTAATTGTAAAATAGAAAATTTTTTCCAAATAGAAAGAAACCGGGAAGGTGTGTTTCTTAGTTTTATTTTACCTGACATATTAGAATAAAGCTATCAGGTTTAGGGGTTAGGAATCAGTCCTGGATGTGCGTTTTCTGTCCTGTTTTTTTTTTTGTTTTGGTTTTTTTTTGCGGTACACGGGCCTCTCACTGTTGTGGCCTCTCCCGTTGTGGAGCACAGGCTCTGGATGCACAGGCTCAGCGGCCATGGCTCACGGGCCCAGCCGCTCCGTGGCATGTGGGATCTTCCTGGACCGGGGCACGAACCTGTGTCCCCTGCATCGGCAGGCGGACTCTCAACCACTGCGCCACCAGGGAAGCCCCTGTCCTGTTTCTTTTTAGTTGAGTGTTGTCCCTTCACGTGTGGCAGAGAATCGTTCTGCATGTGGTTGATAATTGTGGAAGGTGTTCATCTTGCTTGATTGCTTGTTGGAGAAAAATCCAATTTTTGTTGTGTTGGGAGAGCTTATAAAGGTATATTGATTTCTAAGGCTTACCTCGCTTTGAATTAACCAGAGTAGATCATGGTTCCTTTAAAAGCCCTTTTAAACTATTCCTGCAGAATGTTTTTATATTGTCCTTTTGAATTTAAAAATAGGGCATTTTCAATGTGCATTGGGCTCTGTTGCATTGAAATATCACCACCTATTAGTGAAACTACATGCTGTGGGCCTGGGCCCCTTCACTTGTGTTCTGGGCATCTGGTGCAGGACCTTGCTCACAGTAGGGGTTTAACATATGGCTAGTGAGGAAGTGGTCTATTGTTTGGGCCAAGAGAAGGGAAAGAAAAGAGCATCATACTAGACAACAATGATTGTATATCTTTTAGTCTATCTGAATTTAAATATATTAACACAGAGCTGATGATGTGCCCTTTTGGACGAAAGAAGATAATTACTCGAGGACTTTCTTGAGTCACAACCCCTCCAGGTCACAGCAGAGCTTCAGGCTCAGGCCGCAGGGCTCCATTATAAGGGTAACCAGTTACCGAAGGTGAGCTGGTCAGTGTCCTGTGCCGGCCCCCTACTCAGTCACCACACAGGCCAGAAACAGATGTCGGTGGTCAACGACCCTGAACTGGGTGCCAGTTCAGCTTCATGAATGATGGATTTTAAATACTCCTGATCTCTTTTTCAGGAAGAAACCAATCCTGCTCGTGCATGGCGACAAACGCGAAGCAAAGGCTCACCTACATGCCCAGGCAAAGCCTTATGAAAACATTGCCCTCTGCCAGGTAAGGTACTCATTGCCCTTCAAGATCATGCTTAGTCTGAGAGTTGGAAGGAAATTGAGACCTTGAGTCTATCCACCCACCTAATGCAGGAATCCTGTCTCCAGCATCACCAACAGATATCTCTCCAGCCTTGGCTTAAACGCTTCCTGAGGTAGCTCATCCTATTTGTGGGTAGCCCTCATGGTTGAAAGATTTTCCTTTATGTTAACCTGATATCTCTGTAATTAGGGTTCTCCAGAGAAACAGAACCAATAAGGGTGTATGTGTGTGTGAGTGTGTGTGTGAGTGTGTGTGTGTGTGTGTGTGTGTGTGTGTGTGTGTCTGTGCGTAGACAGAGATTTATTTTCAAAGAACTGGCTCACGTGATTGTGGAGGGTGGCAAGTCCAAAATCTGCCGGGCAGGCTGGAGACCCCAAGAAGCACTGATGTTGCATTTTGAGGCCAAAGACCGACTGGAGACTCATTCCCTCTTCCTGCAGGAAATCAGTCTTTTTTTAATTTCCTTTCCACTTTTCAACAGACTGACTGAGGCTCACAAACATTCTGGAGGGTAATCTCCTTTACTCACAGTCCACTGATTGAAACGTTAGTCTCCTCAAAAAATACCTTCACGGCAACATCTGACCAAATATCTGGGTGCCGTGGCCTAGCCAGGTTGACACACACAATCTTCTTCCTCTGCCTTCTACGTTGGTCCTAATTTTCCCGCTCTGGAGCCACATAGACTAAATCTCCTTGCACATGTCAGTGATTCTCGTATCTGAAGTCATCTATTTTGTCCCCCTAGTTTTCTCGTTCAGGTTCAAGCGTTCACTTTCTTCAGTTGTACCTGGTATATCAAGGGTTCCCTGTCTTTCCCCAACCTGCCAGCCCTCTGGTTGTATATATTTTGTCCATGTCCCTGTGGAAACGGAGGTTTCAGCATTATTGAGCAGGTTTTTTGGATTCAATTCAATGGCAGTTTCTTTCTCTGAAGGCAGCTTAAAACTGGTAGTTTTTATTGTGACATTAGCTGCCATTGACATTTCACCCATAGCCCTTAGTTCTTTTTCCCAAGAATCACTCAATACTGGAGAGACCAATAGATCGATCAGAAGCAGACCTGTTAGAAAACTACCTTGCGAGTTGTATGCTGCATGTGATCCTAGTCCGATGAGGGGCGTTAAGTGGTCTCAGAACAGGCTTGGTTTGCTGGGACCAAAGCAGAGAAGGGGCGAGAAGGCTGTTTCTTTATATATTCCCATAATTTTGTCCTGATACTTTCCAGTCAGTTCATGGAAATACAGTGTGACCAGTGAGTCTTGGAGTTTCCTTAGGACTCCTTGTTTTAGCCTCCACGTCTGAAAGGATCTTTTCATGTGTGACATTTTGTGTAAGAAGCAGGCACACTGGGCGGGGAGGGGAGGCAAGGGGGTAGCATGGAATTCAGAAAATGTTAACATTTATCATTTCCTTCCTGTGGTGGTTCTGAAGTGGCTGGTGTAATATTCACCTTTTCCTGTTTGAGCAAGTTGGTCAGTCCATTCATGAGCAGCTTGATGAATGAGTCTTTCATGGCCCTTTTCTCTCCTGGCCAATAGCTTAGTGAAATTGGCTCAGGATTTCTGCTCTTGGAGTACAGAGGCAAGAGTGAATTACATAGAACCTAATTATTTTTCTTTTCCATTTTCCTTCTAACGTCCTTTTTCCTCCATCCATACAAGGTAAAAGAATTCCAACTCACGTTTTATCACTTCTTCTAGCTATAGAATATTATCTATGTGTGTATGTGTATTTTTTTAAAGATTAAAACAGTGAGAAATCTCAACCTGATCAATTTTAAACCTGTCTCACAACATTTTTCCTGTGATGTAACTCACTGTACTTTATGTAGAGTTTTAAATTATTCCATCTCTTTATCCATCCTGTTTGCAGCTTACCTTCTACACAAGATATGCCTTTGCTTAGCAGTTGCCTAAAATCCCCTTGTTTTGCATTTGTTTCCAAAAACAGAAGAGGTTAAACTGCAGTAGGATAGTACTTATCAGACTAATAGTGGGCAGAAAATAAAATAACACGGGAATCCTGAAAAACAGAGATAAAATCAATGGAAATACAAAGTGTTTTTCAAATGTACTGAAAAGTTTAGGTGGCATGCCTAGTGGCGTGCTTCAGGCCAGCCACTAGAGGGTGTAACGAGCCCTGTCTTCCAAACCTTGTGTGCAGAGCCTCCGTAAGCTCCCAGCTCTAGTCTGAGGGACGTGGTGATTGCCCCATCCTGACTTTTTGAAATACCTTTATATCTTGTCTATAATATGAATTTTTGAATTTTTTTTAACAACGTAGTGTCATTTGACTAAGCTGGGTCACGTTAAGTCAAAGAATAAGTGGATGCTGACACTTTTCCCATTTTGCACACCTGGTGGTCCAGGTTCAGACTTCCTGGGTTCTGTCCCAGCTCTCTGCCCGCTAGCTGTGTCATTCTGGGCCCATCACTTAACCACTTAAAGCCTCATTTCTTCATCTTTAAAATGAATTACTAATACTGTATCTCATAGGGTTATTGGGCAAAGAATTTGATGCATTTGCCAAAAAGAAGCACCCGTTAAATATTATCTGTTGAAATTATTATCATCCTTGCTTTTGTGCTTAGACTTGCCCAAAAGCCCACAACAAATCACAAAACTAAACTCAGAAGCCAAGTATTTTGACCATTGCTTTTCCTGAGCTAAATATCAATTTACAGAGTGGCGGCCTTTGTTCTAATTTTGTAATTTAAAGACGTGAAATACTGGGATTAGCATATACACACTACTATATATAAAATAGATAACCAACAAGGAGCTACTGTATGGCACAGGGAACTATACTCAGTATTTTGTAGTAACCTATAAGGGAAAAGAATCTGAAAAAGAATAGAGATATATACGTATCAATATAACTGAATCACTTTGCTGTACACCTGAAACTAACACAACATTGTGTTAATTTTTTTTTAAAAGAAAGACATGAAATGTACTTTCCTGCTCACTCTTCTGTGGCCAGTCCACACAAACGTGTGCCAGTCTGTGAGCAGCCCGAACACTGAGTTTACAAGAGTAGTGAACCTGGCCATCTGTCCATGAGCATCCCCAAGACGGGCTATGTCATTCTCACCTGTGTATTCCAGTTGCCCATCGCTGCCCCCAGCAGACAGGCCCACCTGTGGAGAGTGGACAGGGGGACGCTTTGATTTTAATAGCACTTGCTTCCATTTGTAGAGTGCTTACCCCGTGCAGCTCCTTTTCCTAAGCGTTTTATGTGTACTTCTCTCATTTATTCCTAACAACTCCCTGAATCTCCTAACAGTACCCTCATTTCAAAGAGTAGAAAGATGAGGCATAGAGATTCAAGTATTTTCCGAGGCATAGAGATTCAAGTATTTTCCAAAGTCCTACATAGTTGTGAAGACAGGATTTGTGTCCATACACAGAATTCCTAGCTGGTAAACTATTCTTGACATCTCTATTTATTTTAACTTTTTCATCTTGAGGCCTAACCAAGGTCTTGCTATACCGGATTTTAGATAAAATGTTTTATTTCCCCACCTACCCCCCCCATTTGTTTGTAAAGATATCATTTTAAAACATGAAAAATGGATTTAATATATTTATTTTCAGCATCTTCTGTGTTATAAATGTAAGAAAACTTTTAATATCATAATGTCTCAATACTGCCACCACTTTCAATGTTTCTTTTAAGTATGCTTTGAAAACTTTGTGTGTGTATTTCTGTATAAGCCAAATATCTAATTTTAAAACGTTGCATAGAGTCTCATTTGTTTTTACTAGTTTTCTGGCTTCTAAGGAAATTAGGCTTCTCACTTCTAATTAGTGTAATTAAAAATGCAATATGTGTTGAATCATTCTGGGTAATGAAAAACGAAGTTTTTTAAAAAATGAACCTCACTGGATGCTATTCTAAAAGCTGTTTTGAATCTACAAACAATAAATGCTGGAGAGGGTGTAGAGGAAAGGGAACCCTCATACACTGTTGGTGGGAATGTAAATTGATACAGCCACTATGGAGAACAGTATGGAGGTTCCTTAAAAAACTAAAAATAGAACTACCATACGACCCAGCAATCCCACTACTGGGCATATACCCTGAGAAAACCATAATTCAAAAAGAGTCATGTACCAAAATGTTCATTGCGGCTCTATTTACAATAGCCAGGACACGGAAGCAACCTAAGTGTCCATCGACAGATGAATGGATAAAGAAGATGTGGCACATATATACAATGGAATATTACTCAGCCCTAAAAAGAAACAAAACTGAGTTATTTGTAGTGAGGTGGATGTACCCAGAGTCTGTTATACAGAGTGAAGTAAGTCAGAAAGAGAAAAACAAATCCATATGCTAACACATATATATGGAATCTAAAAAAAAAAAAGTCATGAAGAACCTAGAGGCAAGATGGGAATAAAGACGCAGACCTACTAGAGAATGGACTTGAGGACACAGGGAGGGGGAAGGGTAAGCTGGGACAAAGTGAGAGAGTGGCATGGACATATATACACTACCAAATGTAAAGTAGATAGCTAGTGGGAAGCAGCTGCATAGCACAGGGAGATCAGCTCAGTGGTTTGTGACCAGCTAGAAGGGTGGGATAGGGAGGGAGGGAGACACAAGAGGGAAGAGATATGGGGATATATGTATATGTATAACTGATTCACTTTGTTATAAAGCAGAAACTAACACACCACTGTAAAGCAATTATACTCCAATAAAAATGTTAAAAAAAGATTAAAAAATAAAAGCTGCTTTGGCGATCAAGGGCTTGTCCACTAGAGGGCAGTAACAACTTTAAAAACAAAAAGTTGACCTGAATCTTTTCTAATTTAATTTTCAATAGATAGGGATATTATTGAGTTTTTTAAAAACAAGTAACTTGACCTCTTTTTTATCCTAGGCAAAGTTGGATATTGCATTTGGAACACACCACACGTAAGCAATTTTTATGAAATGGGGAGGGGAGGATATGAGTTTAATAGATCAGAGGATGCTCTTCAGAAATCGCCCTTAGAGGGACTCACATGTGATGATTTTGCTGGGGGAAAAGCTATCACTTAGGAAGCAGAGGAAAAGGAGTTGTTTCTGAACAGCCTTAAGACCAAGTACCAGGATTCTGGCTCTGGACATGAAAGTCTGAATCTGTGATGTGGTTTCTGCTTTCTCTTGAGGGCGTTCATTATAGCCAACTGAGGGGGATAGATTGTGGTCCGCGGTTACGCATGACTGTACGTGCGGTAGTCACATGCCTATGGATTCCACCACTTTAAAGAGGGTCTTGTGAATTTCATAAGATTCTGAGTTGCATCAAATAGAATATTGTTGGGTCAACTGTGCTGTGATTGAAAGAAAAACTGTTTTACAAGAAATTGTCATCTTGAGAGGCTGGTACCTGTCCCTGCTTCAAGACATCTCAGAAAATTCTCTTAGGATAATTTCTGAGACATTGCAAACAACAGGCAGGAGAAACTTTTCTCTTACTTCCTGCTTGATACATATCAGCTTGACTCCCGTTTTATTTGAGTCTTACTGTTTAATAGAGCCGTTTTACATAATTGTTCTCTAGCTGAGAAAAGAATAAGACATGGTTGCCTTGATTTCAGTATTTTTGTAAATCATATTTCTCTAGAAATATGTCACACTCAAAAGAGTGACAAAGGGCTTCCCTGGTGGCGCAGTGGTTGAGAGTCCGCCTGCCAATGCAGGGGACACGGGTTCGTGCCCCGGTCGGGGAAGATCCCACATGCCGCGGAGCGGCTGGGCCCATGAGCCATGGCCGCTGAACCTGCGTGTCTGGAGCCTGTGCTCCGCAACGGGAGAGGCCACAGCAGTGAGAGGCCCGCCGTACGGCAAAAAAAAAAAAGAGTGATAAAGCCTTATCTTTCTTCTAGACCAGCAGTGGAAACAGGTAGCCTCCTGCTTCAGGCATGTCCCTTTGGGTATCTGTCCCTAAGGCAACAAGGAATCTCATGGGAGGAAGTGTTTGCCCCGAGTCTTTCAGTGACCACTATTTTCCTGCTACTACGCCAAAAACAGGGCATATGTTCATCATTCCCTTTGTGAGCTTAAAGCTATATTTTGCCAGTCTGTCTCCAGAAAGGAACCAGAGCAGAAAGCACTGAGCCACTTTGTGAAAGGATACCTATCAAGCATACATTATCTGGTCTTAGGTGCTCTTGTGTAAATGTTGCTGCGTTTACCAACCACCCCTAATTGGTAACTTTAGTGTAATGGAGGGTTGTTGAGAGTGACCTCAAGCACCTACCTAGCTGGAGTATCAGGCACAGAGCTCACAGAATGCTAATTTCAGCAAAGGATACAAAATAGCACTGAATAGGCTGAGTCAGAATCTTAGGCTCCTATAGCTGCACCACAGTGGGAGACGCTGATGGGCGGCAGTAGTAGTAGTCAGCCGTCCTGGGAGAGATTCTGCCAGTAAAGCGTCCTTGTCCCCCGCCCTTAGCTGGAACCCTAGCCTAAATACCTTACTGATTCCAGAATACATTCAGCAAGCCCTGTTTTGGATCCTGGGCATGATTTGCCAGACCTGCAGTGTGGGGTTTCTGTGCAGGGCACATGTTCTGTGCCCGCAGCCAGCGTTTCTTGGGCACTTTCACACTGCACTTAATATGCTAGCGAGTCATAGGAGAGCCTGGGTCAGGGGAGGGACTGAGTGCTGGGCTGGCCCAGATCTGACACAGTGGCATTTGAGGGGGATGGAGCTATCCTTTTTTTTTTTTTTTTTAATGCTATTCCAAAAATTACTTGGTCCTTTGTCTTCATTTTATAGACTAGAGGCCCCAAGTAGGTAGGCAGCTTTCCTCCAGCCAGTGTTGGGAGACAGGACTAGAACTGTTTATTTTTGCTTAAGTTCTTAATTTACTTTTGTTGTTTCCTCACTGCTAAAATTAAACCTGTTTCCTTTGGCGCGCGCACGCACTTTGCAAGCCCATTCTTCCTTCGCCTCCAGCACATGCATTTTGCAGGTTAAACCCAGCAGAGTTCCTCATTCAGAGTTGAAAGTGCCGAGGGAAGTACTGATAGACCCTTTCCCCACTCTGTAGTATGTGTGTAGTTTACATTTTGTTAAAATGCCAGTATTTTGTAGGAGATTGAACTCATGCCTTGAAATTACTTTCAGTTGTTCATTTTAAAATATTTTAAGAGTTATTCATTAAATATCTATTATATTCTTGAAGCACAGCTCAAGGGAATGTAAAGTGTTTTAAGACATAGTGGCTTTTGTCCTTCCAGCTTTTAGTCTTTGGGTGAGAGAGGCAAGACAAACACATGAGCTAGGAAAGAAGGAAAGCCTTCCAGCTCCTGGTGACAGGTGTGAACCCGTCCCCCGCCTCCCCCAACAGAGTGGAGCTGCCACAGTAACTCTGCAGGAGTCTCCGGGGTCACACTTGCGTCAGCTGGCGGGTGCTGACCACGTACTACTTGCGGCCCCATCCCTCAGGAGCTCATGGTCCTCTTAGAGACAGTGAATGTGCTCCATCCCTGCTTCCAGGATGCTGTGCAGTCCCGGGGCTTATCTCATAGTGCTTTAGAATGCTGAAGCTCTTTGGTGGCCTCCAGAGCTGGAAGCAAAGGCACCTCCCACGGCCCTGAGAATCCACAGGGGGAGGGAAGCGTCAGATCTGGCTGTGCAGCCTGGAGCGGACTGCAGGATGAGTCTCTCTCCTCTTCGGGCTGTAGCAGGGCTCCCCTCCGTGTGACCCACTCCTGCCCCAGTAGCATGAAGTAGCTGCGGCCCTGTCCAGCCCAAGGGAAGCCGTGCGCAGCGAGAGGAGGATCCAACACGTGTGATCCAAATAAGCGCTGCTTCCGGTTCACGTGGGGAGCTGGGTAGTCCCCGTGAGCTCTCCTAGCCACGGATTCTGCAGTTGTAAAATGGGAATGATAGCGCCTCCTCTGGATTGGGTGGCATTTAGTGTGCTAGCATTCTGTGTGGCAGTGCCTGGTACATAAATGCTCCGCGGACATTAGCTTGCCTCCCCCTGTGCAGGGACAGCTTCAAATAGGGGAAATGTCCCTTCTGCCACCCCCATAGCTTAACAGATAATATGCAGGTCAGTATTCTTCAGGGAAGACCTCATTTCTTTATATGTTTGATCCATTTTTAACTCTGACCTTGTTGGGACGTGCCATTTTGTCTATGAAAAGATTAATATGACTCCCCTTAGATTAGTTCTCAATGCTATTTGATAGGATTCACTGACATTAGTGCATGATTTTCCTGTTAATTGATAACTTAACTAATGGAAATATTTGTCAAAGTTAAATCATGAATTCGTAACTGGCTTATTCTTAATTACAGTCAGCTACTAATGTGGCAACTGTGTATGTAAATTTGCCCAGATTTCAGGGAACACATCTCATACATGGAGAGAAGATTGGCTCAACAGCTGTCATTTCTCCAGCTTTGCATTAATTTACCATTTGCCAGCTTGGGTTAAATTCTCGTTCTGGCAAGAGCTAAATCTCATTCTCTGTATAGTCTTTTCTGTACTTTTTAATGCTAATAACCCCATTCGGTTGAGATAGTATTTGGGATGTTGTTTATTTGAGAGAACCAGTGGTTCATTTTTTTCCCACGTGTAAACTGACTTCCATCAGTAAATGTTAAGTAGCATTTTGGCCTCCATAGAAATAAGGTAGAGTTACTCCCTTGAGTGAATCTCTAGTTGGGGGAGAGAGAATTTAGGTTCCTGAAATAATTAGAAAACCATCGGGAGGCCAAGAACCATCCGAAAGTAGATGGCAAAGTAAAGCAAGGCATGGAAGCAGTAGAGGGAATGTACACCTGGAGTGTTTTACATTTAACAAAACATGTACTGCGTTTCATTCTCACATCAGACCTATGAAGTGAACACGGGGTTGATCCTTTATGCCACAAGTGAGAAGCCGAGGCTCAGGGGACATGGAACGACTCAGAGATATTAAATGACTTATGTAGGGTCCTAGGGCTTCTAACTGATGAACACTGGTACTTAGGTCTTCCAGCTTCGGATGGAAAGCTCTTATCTGTCCTATTCCCTCCCTCTCACTGGAATTAAACTAAGGGAAATAATCTGATGACTGGGGAAGCCCCATGGGAAAGAAGGGAATATCTAGGGCTGATTTGAGTAAAGGGAGAAGAAAAGGGAAGACTTACCTCAAGCCCGGGTACACGCTGGTGACAAGTCTGGCGTCTATAGAGTATGAAGAAAGATCAGTCTCTTGAAAGGGAAGCATGTTTCAAACTTAAACTGCAACCCACAGTAGGAAATGCGTTTGTCATTTCAGTCTGCTGCAAGTGTCTGTACTGATAAGTGCTGAAACCAGAGTTTCACGAACCAACACTTGAATATATGCAATATACTCTTGAGTTTCTAATTTATTCTGTTGCAGTTTTTTTTTAATGCGAGGTAGCCACAGCGTAGCAAGAGGTTGTGACCATACTCTGAAAACACTGGACAAGAAGATTCCTGTTGTCCCTGGTAGTAATGGGTGATGCTGAATAGATAATAAGGAGCCAGACTACAGTGTGGGGAGGGGTTTAAAGTGCCAGGGCTGGCCACGTGGACGGGATGGAGCAAAAGTTCATTTACCACCAAATACTCAGCATTTTGGAAGGTGGTTTTCCACTTGTCACTTGAGCAGACTTTGATAACAATGATGTATGGAAGAAAAGAAGACTAAATGTTCAAAGTTGGGATAATGTAATAAGAGTTTAAAGAATTCCTTTAGCTATTGCATTTGCGTTAGAAAGGTATCATGAGAGTACTGTTAATGCCTTTTGGTCCTTTTTCTGTTTTTAAAGGAAAATGATGCTACTGCTATACGAAGAGGGCCTCCGGGTTGTCATACACACCTCCAACCTCATCCACGCCGACTGGCACCAGAAAACACAAGGGTTTGTAGGTTCCGTTCATTTCTTGGTAGTCACTGTGTGTGCTGAGAAAGGTCAAAAGCGAGAACATTCGATTTATTCTTTTTCTCCTGTTTTTTAATTGTGAAAAAAAAACAGAATTATGGCATAGAAAAGAGACACATGCAAAAAAAAGTGATAGTATTCTTTTACTACCTCCCCCAAGTTCCTCTCTTGAGGTAGCCGGTGTTAACCGTTTAACACATAATCATAATCATAATCATAACACATAATCATCCATAACTGCCTTTATACCTGTAAACATACATATTTATACACCGTAGTTTTTTTCTAGTTTTTACAAAATGGCATCATACATACACTCTACAGCCAAGTAGATCCAAGTAGATGCTGCCTCTTTCCTGAGGCAAGAAAGAGGATGAAAAATGAAAGACCTGAACCTATTATTTTTCCATTAAGACCCTCCTGATAACTTTCTTGGTCCTCACTTATTCCTGCATCCACTTGTACTTGCCACTTCCCAACAGGTATCAAAAGAAAACTTGGGGGTTGATTGTACGCTAAAAATATCCCCTCACCCCCAGTCAGTTTAGTTTCCCATAAAGCAAATCTAAACGGCTGTCTTTTTAGAGCCTGTAACATGGTTGTGAATCTCCAAAAGAATTGAACATGAAGGTTTTTCATGGCTCTATTTTATTTTATTTTTTTAATTACCAACCCTTTGTCCTTGGTGCATATATGCCAGATCTAGGTTTTGATCTCCTAAGAGAAGTTTAGGTTTATTTTTAGGGATTTTAGGGACTTGTTCAAATCGTTTCACCCTTTGTTCTCCTTCCCAATAAGGCTTCATTATGACCAGCCTTAATTTCGCTTTCTTTCACTTAAGCTAGTCTGCACGTCTCTGCTTTCCTGTGTTAGAAGGAACTCACCCTTTCAAGGTTCGAGTATCTTCCCCTGCATCTTCCTCCTCATTCCCTCGCTCATACCATTGCCCAGCCTGGGCTAGAGCCCTATTCTGGGGCTCTGACTGAGCCCAAGTTAGACCTGTGCTCCGTAACGGGAGAGGCCACAACAGTGAGAGGCCTGCGTACTGCAAAAAAAAAAAGTGGATTCAAGACCTAAATGTAAGGCCAGACACTATCAAACTCTTAGAGGAAAACATAGGCAGAACACTCTATGACATAAATCACAGCAAGATCCTTTTTGACCCACCTTCTAGAGAAATGGAAATAGAAACAAAAATAAACAAATGGGACCTAATGAAACTTGAAAGCTTTTGCACAGCAAAGGAAACCATAAACAAGACCGAAAGACAACCCTCAGAATGGGAGAAAGTATTCGCAGTGCTCTTGATCCACCGAGTTTCCGGTTAACAAGGTCTTTGCTGCCCCAGGAGCTTCTAGCGGCTAGCTTGCATTCTGGGACTCATGACTCATATGTAGCCCCATCTAAAAAAGGAAGTGATATTAACATAGCTTGTTCTTGAGGGAACAATAATATAGCTAAAGGGATTTATCGAATTGGCTCTCCCGTGGCTCAAAGAATCCCACCCACAGCCTCTAGCGCCTCTGGAGCTTGAGTTTATAGGCAGCCAGGCCTGTTTCCTTAGGCATCTCTGGGTTGGCTACTATGGGGAAGGGATTAAGGGTAAATGGCTCCAGTGTTCATTTTTCTCCTTTATTTAAAAAAACTTCACGCGGTTCAAAACTCAAAAGTACCAAGGGTATGAAATCTCCCTCCAGCTATCCTCTGCCGGCCACCCCAGAATAGAAGGTGCTGTTATCTCACGGTTAGTCTAGATTCTACTCTCTGAGACTTTCATGTCGTGGGTTGTAACTTTTTAAAATATTGGCTTGGCCAAAAGGTTCGTTCGGATTTTTCCGTAAGACCTTATGGAAAAACCCAAATGAACTTCTTGGCCAGCCCAATATTTAAAAGTAGTTCTTTTGTGTAATCTCATTTCCTGGTCATCCTATCATGGCTCTGCTGATTCTTGCCTTCTCCACATGTGTTCCAGCCATCCTTTTCACCTGCTTCTTGGTCCACCTGTTAATTTCTCAATTTTAAAATTATTTGGCCCAGGGTGATTTCTCTTATTTTGTGAAATGTTAAAAACGCCTCACATCTTGGTATCCTCGTTTAGAAAGTCGTCATCTGTCATGTTCCTCATTCAGAACTCTCATGAGTGAACCTCTAATCCAGGAGGAGCCCCACTCACCCTGTGGGCTCTGAGTTGCTACTGGGAGGAGAGACCTCAGCCAGCCAGCCCGACATGGTCGCGTTACGCACACAGGGTCAGAGGGAGGCCCAGAGGGGTCACCGAGCTTGCCCAGAATGACACAACCAGGTAGAAGCAGATCCAGGTCCAGAGCCTGGACTCCCGTCCTGGTCACAAGTATAACCCCTCATGCGAGGGGTCACCTCGAGGTGGGAAGGGAAGGTGTGACTTGCCACTGCTAGAAACGTGTACGGAGTTCACAAGACGCACAGCCGGGATCCTCGTGGGCCTGGATCCTTCCTGCCCTGACAGCTGCCTCTTATTAGTCTCCTTGGAGGGCCGCTGAGTGAAAGAGGAATTGAGCAGTTTCTCTTTTGGCTTGTTGGGTAGAAGTGTGGAAATAACCCAAGAAGGGGAAAAAGGCAGACACAGCTCGTACTTGCTGAGGCTGCTTTAAGTTAGACCTGTTCATTACCTCGTGGGCACCTTGGTGAGGCAGGGCTGTTAACCTGATTTTGCTGTTGAAGAAACAGCACAAGAAGTTTGAAGCCATACTTCTTTGTAATCTATGAGGGACCACTTCACAGAAGGACTGGGTTTCGCTGTGCTTGTTTGCCATTTGTGGGTATGATATAGAAGTTTTGGCAAAGTACGCTGACAAAGAATTGATGAAAGATGTCTTTAAAGTTTTTTTACTGAATTATTTGAAAGTCTGAGGTTAGTGTTAATGTAACATGACTAAATGTGGGCTATACTCATTCCAGACACCAGATGTGGGATATATATATCCCATATGTTGTATATGAAAATGAGTTTGTTTATTGAAAACATTTGCACATACATTTTTTTCTTAGATAACTTTTATTTTCCACTTGGCTAAAGAGCTACACTGACGTAGGCATGGGCAGAACCTTGCTGGGGTTACTGCTGGTGGTGGAGTTGCTATAGCAGTTAGGAGTAGAACACTTAACTGTTGTCATCAAGTCTTTTAAAATGATGTAGAGGTGCGAGGGGGAAGGTACGTGAATGAAGGAGGGAGCAGTACGTGAATGAAGGAGGGAGCATGGAGAGACTGAGTCGGGAGAGGCGGACAGAGGCCAGGTCTTACTGGGTCTTAAATTCACAGTGAGGTTTTCAGAAATAATTGTGAATGTGATGGGAACCATTGGAGTGGTGACATCAGATTTGTTTCATGTTTATAAGGATGACCTTACCTACCATGGAGAGAGGTAGTGAGAATTCACCTCTTCCTTAGGGTGAGTGCCTAATCAATACAGAGGTACCACTGTGATCAGCTGTGCTTCTGACTGTTAAAGGTTATATATATTTTTTTCCATTCCAGAATGTGGTTGAGCCCCTTGTACCCACGAATAGTCCATGGGACCCACAGATCTGGAGAATCAACCACACACTTTAAAGCTGACCTCATCAGCTACTTGATGGCTTATAACGCCTCTCCCCTCAAGGAGTGGATAGATACCATCCAGGAGCACGACCTCTCAGAAACAAAGTACGTGGCGTCTCAGCAACGGGGTGCTTACCTTGAGCGTCATGTGAGATCTGGGACACGGGGGCCTGGCAGGAGATAGCTGTCCTTCGGGACGTGATGAGAGCAGGCCTGTCCCTGTCTGCACCTCCTGGTCCTCGGGCACTGAAGTGGAGGCTGGGAGATCTTGCCCCTCACCTGAGTGCCATCACCCCACCCCCTCCCATCCCAGCTGGAGAGCTTTCTCTTAAAATTGCTGAGCTCTTTGCCTGGTACCTCACACTCCGTGGGTGTCCCACCATTACTTGATGTGCTCAAAAATGATTCTAAGTGTCAGTCTGAAGAGGCATCTCAAGAAAGTGGGTTGGCTCGTAGAATATTTCTTGCTTAATGTTACTTTTCATGAATATTTTGTGATTTGGGGAGTCCACAAATCACTATGTTCTATAACTTGTGCTTTATATCTTTTTAGTGTTTACCTTATTGGCTCAACCCCGGGACGCTTTCAAGGAAATCAAAAAGATAATTGGGGACATTTTAGGCTTAGGAAGGTAACAGAATTTTTACTATTTTACCATTTTTTTTAAAAGCAATGTATGTTCTGTCCTTTTTCATTTATAATTGGTATATTTTGAAGGCAGCTTCGTAGTATCTCTAGCACAATTCTGGGCAAATAGTAGGCACTTGATAATTGATTGTCTAATTATAGTTTCCAGTAATTACTTGCATTTTAACATTTTGCCTCATTTATAGGTGTAGAGGTAACAATTCTAAATGGCAAAAATATATGGAGGATTTTTAGTTTTTTTTATTTCTTGTAATAAAGAGATTTTTTATTCATATAAGTATTATAGCTTTTCATCAGCACATCAAGGATTTTTAACACAAATTCAACAAAGAACAGAAAATAGTGTTGAGTGAAGACTACAGCTGAGCTATGATGTGTTTTGTTTGCTAAACCATTGCCCTGAGAACTGTAATTATGGCAATGACATTTGATGCTGGTATGAAAATAAGCCAAGAAAGATCTTTAACAAAGTAAAACAACCAGCAAGTTAAAGCTTAAAGTTTTCTCCACCTCTCTCTAGAGTCAGTTTATCGACCTTGGTAAATTCCTCAAAGGGCTTTCTTAAAAGCCCCTCTTTTTCCATAAATTATGTTGTGTGAGAATTCCGCCCAGCCAGTGACAACTTTTCACTTTAATTTCCTTTTGTGACACCACAGCTGAAAGTGGGCAAGGTCTTGAAGCCACCATCTTTCTATCTTGACCTGGGGCGGAGAAGGTCCCACGTACTGGCTAAGTGCACAACTTTGTGGGCGGATACCCACACCCAGGGCCAAATCCTGACCTGGTTACGAGCCATGTGATCTTGCCTTGCTCCTTAACCCCTCTTGACATCCATAAAATGGGCATAATAATAGTACTTCCCTCACAGAATTACGTAAGGATTAAATGAGGAAATGAATGCAAGGCATGTGTTGAGTGTTCGGTAAGCACTAGTGTGTATTAGCCTGTGGGCCAGTGTTTCAGAGCGGCCAGGTGATCGCACATACTGTGCAGCATCCCAATCTTATTGAAAGCTGAGGAGCGTCTTGGAGTTTGCGACCACTTTCCACTGTCAGGAACTCGTGGTGCATCATAGCTGCATTCCAGGGAAGATGGGTGATCAGACGTATGTTCCACTGAGGTGTAAAGAGAAGCCCAGGGTCTTGGCTAGGGTCGTGTACCTGATCAAGGACCGAGCCCAGAATAGCCCCAAATAGAAGCTGAGTCTTGTTGGCTCAGTCCTGTTTCCTTTGCCATGCTGCACCCAGGGTGGAAGTTGAGAACTATTTGGGCTCTTTGGGGAAGTGTGTTTATAAATATTAATGGAAAATAATACATATAAACTAAACAATACATCCGTCAGAATATGAGCTCCACTGGGGCAGGAACTGCGGCTTTTTTTTGTTGTTGCCATCTCCAGCCTCTAGGAAAGACCCTCATTATGTGTTTAAATGGATAAAATTTCCCAGTATTTTCTGAATTGTTTCTGCAGCTTTGCATAAATATCAGACAAAGCAGGAAATGCAGGTCAGTCTTCTGCAGTGCTTATGGTAGTATGTATCTATATGTAAATATATTCCCTTTTATTTCCAGAGCATCACAGCTGCCTAGGCCCCAAGGGTTAAACCTCTTTCAAATGATACGAGTCAAAATATACAATAGCTTGACTTCCTAGTATTGTTTAGGTATGTTAAACCATCGCAACTTCAAGGCAAAAATCTAATTTCCTATGCCAGGTTGGTGCTTTATCTGACGTTGCTACTAAAATGGGTCTTCTTTTTATTTTTTTTAATCTGTTTTTGCTTTTAGTACAAATCAAAGAATTTTGGAAGAAGAATACTTGTGTCCACTTACTCAATTAAAATAAAATATCTTCAGTGTTTAAAAATATTTCCCAAAGAAGGAAAAAAAACTACACATGGGTATGAACTTGGTTGCTAATATTTTCAGCCTTTCCTTGTGAACGAGGCATTCCAAGGGCAGAAAACCATGTTCTGAGTTGTCACAGCATTTCTGTTCACGTGTTTGGAGTAACGGTAGCATTCGTTTTTATTCTCTCACAGATTCTGAAAGAGCACACCTCGTCCACACCTAAAGCGGAGTCCTGGCCTGTAGTAGGTCAGTTCTCAAGCGTTGGCTCCATGGGGGCCGATGAATCAAAATGGTTGTGTTCTGAGTTTAAAGAGAGCTTGGTGACACTGGGCAAAGAAAGCAGGGCCCTAGGAAGGGCTGTTCCTCTTCATCTGGTGAGTGTCCCCCTCCTCGAGGTCACTGTTCTTATCCTCTAGTCCAGGGGAAGAATCAAATCAGTCCTCGTTGTCATAGAGAGATGTTTCATTCCGTGGTTTGGGGATGGAAGCAGCAGGCCCTCAGCATAGTCATTTGTAATCAAGTGGCCCTAATATCATTTGGTGCTGGGAGCTTGCTGGTTTGCTCAGAGCTCCATCTCAGCCACAGACTAGCCTGCGAATTCTCCATTCCTTCCTTGAGGTCGTCAAGCCAAGGGAAAAAATACTTGATAAAACATTACCAGCAGAATTACAAGCATTATTAGTTTAGAGACCTTTGAATTAATAATTTTGCATTCAATTCAGTGTTAATTTGTCATTTCAGAGGGAAAAAAAATACTCAAATGGAAATGTAATTTTCTTTCATTGACTATAAATGCTTTCTGTAGTTTAATTACTAGAAGTTTAATTTTTTTCAGTGAGATGGGAACTTGTTTAAAATTTAAAGCACGTTTTCTAAGTCTTTAGGTATTTCTAATTGAGATTTTCATTTTCTTAAAAACGAATCTTCATTCCTTTTAACAAATAGTTCTTCCATGTGGTAAATTCCAAGTGTTTTGTTTTTTTTTTTTTTAGATCTATCCTTCAGTGGAAAACGTGCGGACCAGCTTAGAAGGATATCCAGGTAATTGTTGGGGAAACTGTCCCGATTGTATTTTGTGTTTGTGTATATTTCATAAATGCCCTGGTAAACATTTTCTTTTTAAATTTTATTGGGATATAGCTGATTTGCAATGTTGTGTTAGTTTCAGGTGTACAGCAAAGTGATTCAGTTATACATGGCCCTGGTAAACTTTTTAAAACAAGTAATAAAAATGCCTTCCTCCTTGAGACCAGAAAAGTGTTGGTTAGAAATTTAGAGATTATTCTCTCTTAACTAGATAAGGATCATGACAGTAGGTAATATTGAGCAGTGCTGTGTTCCAAAGATGATGCCATGCAGTTGGGCAATTTGTGTGTTATTTAATCCTCACAATAATGCTCTGAGTGATTGATATTTTTACCAATAAGATTGTTCTCACTTCTGCCACCAGCATATTGGTTGTCCAGACAAGACGTCCGGATAAAACCAGCTTCCCCTACAGCTGTGTGTCATACCTTTCTCTGACCTCTCTCTCCCCACATCCCCCTCTGCCTGAAGTACTGTGTGGTTCTTCCAGATTTGAATTCCAGTTACAGATAATATTGAAGGTCCGGAACTTATGCTTAATACTGAGATGAAACCTTTGGTATAACCCAGTTGATACATCTTGTCTTGCAAGAGCTTTATCTGTAAATCCTAGGACTGTTTTGTAGACATCTTTCAGTCTTGTCCTCTATTTCCCTTATGTCAGTGCTGGGCACTAAACTTATTTAGAATTCAGTAGCCCCCCGCCCAGATAGTGCATTCAGGAGGTATTAACCAGAAACCCAAACAGGGTAATGCCTTGGGAAAAGGGGAAGTCTGATTGGCATTTGCTTATGGCTGGAAGCAGAGTGCTCTGAATTAGACCAGCTTAGTCCATTCATTGCTTATCAAACTACATGTGACCCTGCCAGGAAAATCTCAGTAGAGTTTGGAGTGTATTAGCCCATTTGTTGCTTTTTTTTTTTTTTTTTTTTCTTTGCGGTACGCGGGCCTCTCACTGTTGTGGCCTCTCCTGTTGCGGAGCACAGGCTCCGGACGCGCAGGCTCAGCGGCCATGGCTCACAGGCCCAGCCGCTCTGCAGCATGTGGGATCTTCCCGGACCGGGGCACGAACCCGTGTGCCCTGCATCGGCAGGCGGACTCTCAACCACTGCGCCACCAGGGAAGCCCCATTTGTTGCTTTTTAATGGCAAGCTAAAATTACTTCACTGAGACTCAGGGACATGGTGATTTTCTGGTTGGTTTGGCTGCTTTTTTTTTTTTTTCTCCTCCTTTCTGTACTTCTAATAGGCTAGATCCATGCAAAGCATGTTTTTCAGTAGGGAAGAACTTGGTAGTTTCAACAAAGCTATTGGGTAACTGGTCCTTGAAACCTCAGCTATGTTCTTAGTTAATTTGTAGCGGGAGATACAACATGCCTTATTCGATATGTCAGGAATTTAAAGCCCTCTTTGGATATAGATTACTATGGAGAAGTTCTAACGTGTTTGGAAAGTCACTGATGAATCTACAGGGAACTTTCTTCCTTTCAAAGAGGAACAAAAATGGCTTCTAATTGTGTTTTCACTTGGAACTGTATCTTCGTTCTCTTTGTAGGACTATGGCTTTTAGAATTCCTTTTTAAAAATGTACCTGTTTACTGAACATTTTAATTTAGTGATCCTTTTATTTCATTTGTAAGAATCTGTGTAGCTAGGACAAAGTCTATTTGGAGATATCAGTGTAGAAGGTGAAGGAGGCAGGAGAACCAAGTTTTTATCCTAGTGTGCCTTCCCCCGAGTGTCCTGGTCTTGGGCAAAAAACAGGTGCACCAAACCTCATCTTGCAAAATGTGGCTAAGGGTGTCTCACCTGCATGAGGACAGCAGGATGGGCAGAGATTCATTCTCTGGTCTTTCCTAACATTTCAGATCTGTGCTGTTATAGATGTTAAATTTCCACCACCACTACCACCCCAGTGATTAAATACCTTTTTCTATTCAGATAGTAAACATTTACTATTTGACATGCATATCTAAGAAAGGAAACCCCATTGAGAGCAAACCCAAAGCAGGTTTGTTTAGCCATTTTCTTTCAAAGAACTATTCCATAAGATGAAGTAAGTAGTGGTTTTCTTTTACCTTCCAACTGTTTGCTGTAGATTTTCTTCTTAACAAAGGATCCTCAAATTATAGTCAGTAATTTTCATTTTTTTATTTTTCTTATTTTAAAAGCCGGGGGCTCTCTTCCCTATAGCATCCAGACGGCGGAGAAACAGAATTGGCTCCATTCCTATTTTCAGTAAGTAATAGGTTTAGAATGCTGCCTTTGCTTCTTTAGGGTAAAATAAGAATGTTATTTGTCAGTATGATTTTTTTTTTAGAAAAAGTACCTTATATAATATGGCTATATTTTTTATCTGCATATGTTAGTGATAGAAATCATTTAAAACAAGGTTCTGAACATTTCTTGGAAATGTTTTTTAATACCAAAGAGTCAAATATTGGCATACAGAGAAAAAGGTAAATAAAAGAACATGTTGGGAAGTTTCGAATTTACATAAGAAGCATTTTCGTCCATATTTCCAAAATATGTCATCCTTCCGTCTACACATTCATACGCTGTGAAACCACAGGCTTACTGAGGGAAGAATCCACGCCACTCTCTCCAGGGCACGGGGTGCCTTTGGCTTGTTGTAACAGTCAGCAAATGGCCGAGTGTTCAGGTGAGCGGGGTGTCCTGCGTCCTCTTCTGGCTGCAGTGGCTGCACATCCTGCGTGTTCTAGGCCAGTTCTAGTTTCATACTTGCTTCAACAAGCATTCATTATGCTGGACGCCAGAAACGAGGGCAGATTACATTTCTCTAGCTTTCAGTCTGGGAGTTCCCTGGCGGTCCAGTGGTTAGGACTCCACGCTTTCACTGCCAAGGGCCCGGATTCAGTCCCTGGTCGGGGAACTAAGATCCCACGTGCAGTGCAGCAAGGCCAAAAAAAAAAAAAAAAGCTTTCAGTCTAATTCAGTACGCCATTCATCCTGGAGCCTTTCTTTAATGTTTTCTTTGGAGATGTTTGGTTTTGCAGAGGACATTTTTAAAAATTGAACTCCTTTCAGTATTGTCCTCATACAATCTAATAACGAATCTACCTAATCCTGATTTTACTCTTTTCTTGAGGGACCATCCTCTTATATTCATAAGTAAGGATTGTTGCCTCGTAATATAGGTCATTTTTTTTCCCATGGAACTGTAGTCCTAAAAATGTTGGAAACTTAGAAACCAAACTCAGATATATGAATATCAGCATTTGACTGGAATATTTCTGAATTGTCCCCCTGCCTTTCAGCATTCCATTTTGATATTCATACTGTTTGTATTTTTCCCATTTTGTATTTTATTCTTTCAATAAGCATTTGGTGAGCCTCTTGTACTCAGTAACATGCTCCGGGAGCACAGTTCCTGCTTTCAAGGAGACCAGATGTGCATACATGCGGTTAAAAGCACAATAGAAATAATATGTATGTGTATTCATAACAAGATGGGAAGGCCATACGAAAGGTTACAGTGCTTTTTGTAGGTGGTGGTAAATTTTTCTTCTGCGTACCTACATTCTAAAATGAACATGTGTTATGCTGTTAGCTGAGTACAGTTTAAGGAGATATCACAGGTCATATCACAGAGAACAATGTACTCACTGTTTTTTAGATGATAGGAGTTTGCTTTTGAGACAGTTTCCTCATACTAGGACTACGACCAATTTATATTTTCTAATTAGTGATGTGTGTCTTTCCCGTCACTAGCAAATGGTCAGCTGACACGTCAGGCCGCAGCAATGCCATGCCACATATTAAGACATATATGAGACCCTCTCCAGACTTCAGTCAACTTGCGTGGTTCCTTGTCACAAGGTACGTAGTTCTTACATTCCTGATGGGAGGAGTTGTTACAAGTGTATTTGTAACTCCTGCTAAGAGTACTGAATAGGGTTCCAAAAAGTGACTTTGTGGATTGTTGTTAGTTTTCTTTGTGTATGTGTGTGTCTTATATGAGCCTTATTTAAAGTAGGCCCTTGACATGAATCCCTTGGTAGAGGGATCATTGCCTGATTTTACTTATAAGTGTAGATGTTTACACGGTTTGCATAAAGTTTGTGTTTACTTCGGTATTTAATACTCCAGAAATAGGAATTAAGCAAATTGACATTTGGAGTAAATACAGAAAAAGAATAACTTGGTGAAATTAATATTCCTTAATTATTTTCTTCTTAGATAAGTGAAACTTGAGCAATCAAATCTCTTTGTGTTTTTTTTAAACATCTTTATTAAGATATAATTAACATACTATAAAGTTTACCAATTTGAAGTCTACAATTTAATGATTTAGTATATTCACAGAATTATGAAACCATCACAGTAATCCAATTTTAGATTATTTTTGTCACCCCCTATAAGAAAGTCCCTACCTATTAGCATTTTTGTGTCTGTTTTTATAACAAGCTATAAAATAGAGCTGGACTAGAACTTTAGTTCCTGGCTTCTAATCTACAGAGACCGTTAGGCATCTCTTAATTTAATAACACAGTTGATGCCAATAGCAACTAATTAAGGTATCACAGAGTAGAATTATTTCTTTAATGATGAACAAACTTTTAAACAGAAGTTTAAAAGCTTTCATGAACACACTTTTCAACCAAAGAACCACTTAGAAGCAACCAAGTTACTTTCCTAGTTTATGGAAATTAGTGGCTAACCTTTGCCCCTGGCTCCGGATACGGGTCCGAGACTAAACAGTGTTAGTGGTGGAGATAAGATGTGAGAGAGGGCTTCCCAGGCATTTCTGAGGAGCCATAGCACAATGGGAAAGCACACTCCTGAGTCCTGAAGATCGGACTCTTCTGTTATTTACTAGCTCCGTGAACTTGGGAAATTTATTTAACCTGAGGCTCTTTCCTGTTGTATAAAATGGGAAAGGTGATGGCTGCCTTTGGGGGTTATTGTGAGAGTTAAATGACAGAGCCCAGTGCTGGAGACATATCAGCCCATGACATGAGAGCTGTCGTTACACTTGTTCAAGCTCTGCCCTCAAGGCTGTGAAGGATGGCCAGGGGAATTAGTGCCCTTCTCTTTGCTGTGTGCCTATAAAAAGAGAAACTTCTGCCTGTAAAGAGTAGGTTACCTGAGTATGAGACCTGAACTGTAGATCCCCTGGGTGGAGAAGTCATTGCCTGAGACAGATAGGAAATGCCAGGGAGAGCAGAGGCATGGAGGCCGTGTGGCCCCTCTGTGGGCGAGGAGTTTGGGCCTTGGTGAGTGGGAGATTGTTATTTCCTCCCCCAAGTGTATTTTAAATAAAACACACTTGAGAAAGCTAGATTATTACCAGTATTCCTGAATTCAAGTGATGAGAAATTAAGTTATAATACTACCCAGTCTTCTGTGAAGTTAACCAACAAAAACATGAATTGGGGCCTAACGTGGATCCTTGAACAGCCTCCCAAGTGACCTGGATACTCAGAGACCACATTTCAGTGTCAGCTCACCTATGTGCTCAGTAACTGTCTGTTAAACCAGCTTACTAAGTTGCAAGGAGAAAAACCTGGCTTTTAATACTGGTTCTGTCACATCGTGATGCTGTGTGTGACCTTTGCTTCCTTGTATACGCTGATGAGTCAGTAGGACTCAATGAAATTATCTACTTGCTTCTGATTCTACAACGCTACCGTTGGAAGCATTACGGAGTGGTAGGCCATCATACATCCCAAGGGCTACTTTATTACAAAGCTTGTTGTTTTGCTCTGTGTTAAGTACCTGAAATGATGTGACATTTCCCTCAATCAGATCTGACAGATTCTCTACCCATTATATTATGTTCTTATATTCATCAAGGCTCTTACTGAAATCGTACCACTTTGCAGCAATGTTGAATTGAATCTGAAGGCTATTCTTCCAACTTTGGTTAAAATCCTCTTAACTACTAGCAGAATGTTTTTGGTCAAAATAGGGTGAGAGGGTCAGAGCAATATAAAGAAACATATCAGTTATCGGGGAAAAGTGGTCTCGTCTAGCATCATGGGTTTTTTGGCTGAGAAAACAGGTGCCCCAAGAAATTAAGCATTGAAAAGCGTGCAGCTCACCTTTTATCCACAGAGTGATCAGAAGTGATCTCTTTTACTCCCCTCCTGCCATTAGGTAGACTTTTCCTCCAAGATGTTAGTGTCGAAGTCTTCTATGTAAGAGTGCTTGCTGTGGGTCTTTGAGGGTTACTAGAGATGGAAATCCTGGTGCCGGGGACCCAGGGATAAAGGAGAGGAGAGGCTGTTTGGAGGGCTGGCCTGTAGGATAGAAATGGAAACGTCTGCTGTAGTACTGACGGGCTTAATTATAACTTGCAAGTTAATTGAAGAATTTGAAATTTGTCTTTGTGAATCTGTGGCTTCTAATTTTATTCTGGAGCACCTAGACCAAAAACTATACTTGCCAAGATGTTTAAAGGATAACAAGTAACATTCATTCAGGGATTTCGACATGCCAGACGCTGTTCTAAATGCTGTATGTACGTTTATTCATTTAATGCTCAACAGCTCCATGAGGACTTGGAGAAATGAGTGGTTGAAAAGGCTGCCCGTGGTCACACGGTAGTAAGTGGTAGAAGCAGGATTTGAACCCCAGGCCTTTGGCTCCACGACTGGCACTCTTCAGCTCTACCTTCTATTGCCTCTTAATTAAGATACGGTTTTAGTGCTCCTGTTTTCTGTGAAGACCAGTTAGGTCAAAAGAAACTGCAGCACATTTTACTTTGTTATGTAAAGGAGAAAAAGCCCCCATAGCACTCCAGTTTTATGAAAGGATACCTGAGAAATGTAACTTCTATAACAATTTAGAACATACTTAGAGCCCACTCTCCAGCCCTTTCATAACAAGGGAAGGTACAGATCCCAAGTGTAAGTGACATCTACTAGTAACTCCTTTCTTTTTTGTTTTCAACCTTATCTCCCAAACCGAGCTCATCTATCTAGAAGGAGGTTCCTTTCCCGTCACCCCTCTTTGCCCCAGAGGCACCTGCCCACTCTCATCAGGCTTGAAGCCCAGCTGTCCTCTTGTGCTCTTCCTTCCTTGGAGCGTTTACCGAGGTCCTTCCTCCTGTGGATGCTGGGCACTCGGGATAAAACAATAAGAAGATGTACATAGTGCCTTTGAGATGCTCAGAATCTCAGAGATGTCAGAAGCCAGACACAGAAATGATTTCAATAGAAAGAGATCAACTGTATTCTTGACGTGGGCACGTGGACGCTTTCGAAATAGCTAACAAAGCTTACTCGTCCTTCAGGTGTCTCCAAGTTTCCTTTTCTAATCCCTGGACTTCTGAAATGATTGCCTGTCTGCTGTCCCATTACACAGGTCGTCCTCTTCCCAGGCCACCTGTCCTTGTTGTCCATGACCATTCATCTTTCAGAGACACGGGTCTTCCTCACCATCCCATGTTCAGAATCCTCGCCCGTTTCCTGTAAGCTGAAGTCTGGAGTCCTCCATTGGCATTCAGACCCTGGCCACCCCATTTCCACCTTGCTTCTCCTGTACTTCCTGGCGGGAACTGCCAGCAGCCGCCGGGCTGGCCTCCTTTGCCCCTGAAGTCATCCTGCCAGCAGCCCATGGAGTCCCCTTTCCAGATGCCTTGGTCCTTTTCCTCTGCCTCTCCAGCTGCTGCTCATCTCGTCAGTATTGTGCTCAGGGCTGGCCTCTTCTCAAGGAGGCTTTGCCAGCCGCTACTGGTCTCTCCCTCCTGCACATCCTTAAGAGCACTTGTGCGTGTGCTTGGGAGCTCACTGTTCTGTCTCATCTTGTAGAGAAGAGGGTATGAGCTTTACATCATCAGACGGTCCTGGACGAGATGATCTGTCTACTCCTGAACGAGCCTTTTGCCATGAACAAGGTTCTTAACCTCTCTGAGCCTCAGACGCCTCATCTGCACAGCAGCCACGAGGGTGTGAGGCGCCACGCTTGGTGATTGGACCCCCAGGCAGAAGAGTTCAACTTTAAGTTCAGAGCGGTAAATTCACTGATACAGTATAATGAAAGAACTGGGAGTGGAAGAGCACAAACTTGACTCACGGGTCACTAGTGATAGTCCAATGCGTGTGGCCCCTCCATGGTACCTACTCCACCGTTAGAATGAGAGGTTCATGCTCTCATGGGATTTACATTAGGACCAAAGAGGTTCTGTCAAACAGCTGGTTGTATATGTGTTATGTAATTGCAGTGTTAATTCTGACCATTCTGCATAAGTAGATTTTCACCCAGCAAGGCCTACACTGACTTTCAGCTCTCAGCTTAAACGTCACTGAAACTCTCCTTGCTTTCTCAGCCTCCTGGTGTTCATCTGTCCAACAACTCATGGCACACATATTACTTATTTTAGCCATTGCTCTTTCCAGACACTACTCTGTTCCAGGCAGGGTGTCCATATGCCCTGGGCTTCTTGCATGGTCTATGTTGTTTCCCTTTCAGTGTGGTTGCTTGTGTGATCACTGGCTTCCCCTCTCACCTCTGAGCCAAGTCCATTTCTGTCTTGTTCAGTGCCCTCCGGTGCCTGGCATGGAGGGGCGCTCAGCACAGATTTGTTAACGAGGAATCGAACGAAGGCCAGGATGGAGGCTGTACCAGTGAACCACTGCCTAGACTTTGTGCGTGATTGACTGTGGGAGATGCTTCAAAGGCAAGTCCTGGGCTTGGGGTGTGGCTGGTAGGGAGATGGGGGATGGTCACCATCATCAATAGAGAAGTCAGGAAATGAAACTGGTTTCGGTGGGAGAATGGTCAACTCGATTAGACTGATTTATTATAGTGGGACGGTCAAGTGGAATTGTTTATTGGCGATGTTGCACTCAGAAGGTCGGTGTACACATGGTATA